GGCATGGAACCCCCCCAGCACCTCGTTGGCCCTCTCTCCCCGAATCAGACAGATGTCACTTCCCTGCCCTCTTCCCTCCAGACACTACGCAGGCCAGCCCCAGGGAGGCCCGGGGCCGGCCTCAGACGCCTGGCTGGAGCATGGGGGCCATGAGCCTGCCTGGCGTTTGCACCCCGCCCTGTAACCTGACCCTGCCTCTCGGGTTCCTCCTTGCCAACCTCCCCCGGACCCTGGCCCTGCCAGCCTGTTTTCAAGACCAGACAGCACTCTCCTGGCTGACAGACAGATTCAACAGTAACAGCAAAAAGGGGTGCGGGGGAGGGAGGAGAGAAAAGGTTAGACATTTACACAATAAAAACAATAATGATTAAAAGTGCTTTCTCTTAAAGGAAATCTTTGGCAAGAATATACTGCGGTGCTGTGTGTGTGTGTGTGTGTGTGTGTGTGTGTGTGTGTGCCCGCGTGCACGCAGGGGTGCACAGACCTAACCTATGAGACCTGGGAGGGCCACAGTGTCCTCCCAACCAGTGTCTGACCCAAAGGTGGGGCCACTTGGAGACTGGGGTACCCTTCCCTAGCATTCTTCTGGAAACCCACTCCTTCCAGAGGGATGCGAGGGAGTGAGGAGTGAGCTGCTCAGCTTCCCAGGATGCCCTGGTCCTTCCCAGAGTCACAATGGGCTCAGGCCTGAGTGGGGCAGGCTGGCCATGCCTGGGAGGCGGGGGCTGCCGGTGGACAGTAGGAAAGCGTGTGTGAAGGCCCAGGGGCTGGCTGCTGAAGGGTCTGCCGCTCCACCAGGCCCCGAGTGAGGAGAGGCCATCCAGACCAGGAGGAACAAGTGCCCAGGGACACGTCCAGTGGGAGATGTAAGATATTTACAAAGGAAGCGGGGAGGAAATATCTCCCATCTGGGGAGAGAGTTGGGGTGGGTGGGAAGGAGGAGGGGAGGATTTCTGGGTATCTGGCTTGAATGCCTCAGAAGGAAGAGCACTTTGGAGGAAACTCGGTCACCAAGTACAAGGTTGCAACCTTTAGGAAGTGGGGGCCTGCTCCCCACAGTCAGACACTCTCCTTTCCAACTTCCCTGAAAACAGAACATCCACACAGATACAGCTTCTTGGAGGAGAAAAAATGCAAAAGACACACACGTCCCCCATCCACCACACACACCCTTGTCCCGGCAGTCCCCCAGGGAGAAGGGCAGCCCCCCGCCCTCTCTGGGAGCTGACTGCTGTGCCCCGGGCTTGCCAGAAAATAAGGGGGCCCTGAAAACAGAACATCCACACAGATACAGCTTCTTGGAGGAGAAAAAATGCAAAAGACACACACGTCCCCCATCCACCACACACACCCTTGTCCCGGCAGTCCCCCAGGGAGGAGGGCAGCCCCCCGCCCTCTCTGGGAGCTGACTGCTGTGCCCCGGGCTTGCCAGAAAATAAGGGGGCCAAGGGAATGGAGCAGGTGCCACCACTGAGCCCCTGCTTCCTCCAAGAATAAAGGGCCCTTACATTTCAGACTTCACTTAGACATGAAAAAGGGTTGGGAATTGTTTTATGCCCAGGGAGGCAATAAAGCAATATGGGAAAACAATAAATACTTCTCGTCAATTTACCTATTCTTTTTTTTTAACCTTTTCTTATATTTTATTAGCTTACAGATTCTGTCAGTATGTCTCACATATATATTATATATATTTATATATCAGTACAATGCCTCTCTCTAGGGGACCCCATAGGCTTAAGAAGCCCCCCAAGAATGGAGTCCTGGTGAATTTTCCATTCCAGCTTAGAGTCCTTGGGTGGTGGTCTGAGGGGTCCCCAACTGCCCAGATGGCCTCTTGGCCCTCTGACCTCAATGCATCCCTTGGTCCCTCTGTTCCGTGGGCAGCTTGGCTCTGCCAGGGAAACCAAGGCAGGAGGGGGAAGAGCAAGGTTTTGGCATGGTAGGCAGGCCATGTGGGATGCAGAGACAGCAGCAACAAAAAATCTGCTAAGGACATCCCGGGCAGTCCGGTAGAAATCAGACCCCAAAACACTCACAGAGAGAGCCACGAGCCCTTCGGGGGCCTCTCCTGGGGCTTGCTGGGCAGGGCTTCTGAAAGCAGGTTCCCCAGGACAAGCTCCAACGTGGGGACCCTGAAGGACAGGGCAGGGCAGGGCAGGAAGGCTCAATCCCCCACACCCAGAAGGGCAACAAGCAGATAAGCAAGTGAGGAAAGGCTGGTCTGGGGCACAAAACCCAAGAACGGGCTGAGGGCTCGAGGCAGTAGGAGCGACCTGCCCAGGCTAATGCGGGACCACACACGTCCAATCTGTCCAATCTGCTGAGCTCCAAGGCCAAGGCCACCCCTCCTGGTGGCTCTCTTCCCCAAAACTACGTACATGTGTGTCTGCACCTCCCTCCAAAACCAATACTCTGGCCTCCCCTGCCTCGCTGGGGTCTTTGTTGAGAAGGGGCTGACAACGCCCAGGGCCGCGAGAGCACAGGTGCAGGGACCCACAGTCTGTGACCCAGAATCCTGGGGAACGGGACTTATGTCCCCTCGGGCTGCCCTGTCACCCCTTGCTGTCACCTTCTCTGGACAGGAGGCATATGTGTGTGCAAACACGCGGGGCACAGACAAGGCTAGGTGATACGACCCTGGCTAAGAGGCACGTGGAAGTCAGTGTGTGAGGACAAGGGTGTGGTCCCACGACACACCCTCTACACACACCCGCAGAGACTGCACAGCGGCGGCATAGTCCCGAGACCCCAGGGTACCCCAGGACTCAGAAACTTTCAAAGGCAAAAGTTCGGCCACTTGATGTCCCATGCTGGCTCTATTTGGTTCACCCATCTACCCCAGAGGCAGCCAGAAAAGGATGCTCTCAATCTGATTTCTCCTTGCCAAGCAGTAGGGTTAGGGAGACAGAGCTTTTCCATCCCCTGAAAACAGAACATCCACACAGATACAGCTTCTTGGAGGAGAAAAAATGCAAAAGACACACACGTCCCCCATCCACCATACACACCCTTGTCCCGGCAGTCCCCCAGGGAGAAGGGCAGCCCCCCGCCCTCTCTGGGAGCTGACTGCTGTGCCCCGGGCTTGCCAGAAAATAAGGGGGCCCTGAAAACAGAACATCCACACAGATACAGCTTCTTGGAGGAGAAAAAATGCAAAAGACACACACGTCCCCCATCCACCACACACACCCTTGTCCCGGCAGTCCCCCAGGGAGGAGGGCAGCCCCCCGCCCTCTCTGGGAGCTGACTGCTGTGCCCCGGGCTTGCCAGAAAATAAGGGGGCCAAGGGAATGGAGCAGGTGCCACCACTGAGCCCCTGCTTCCTCCAAGAATAAAGGGCCCTTACATTTCAGACTTCACTTAGACATGAAAAAGGGTTGGGAATTGTTTTATGCCCAGGGAGGCAATAAAGCAATATGGGAAAACAATAAATACTTCTCGTCAATTTACCTATTCTTTTTTTTTAACCTTTTCTTATATTTTATTAGCTTACAGATTCTGTCAGTATGTCTCACATATATATTATATATATTTATATATCAGTACAATGCCTCTCTCTAGGGGACCCCATAGGCTTAAGAAGCCCCCCAAGAATGGAGTCCTGGTGAATTTTCCATTCCAGCTTAGAGTCCTTGGGTGGTGGTCTGAGGGGTCCCCAACTGCCCAGATGGCCTCTTGGCCCTCTGACCTCAATGCATCCCTTGGTCCCTCTGTTCCGTGGGCAGCTTGGCTCTGCCAGGGAAACCAAGGCAGGAGGGGGAAGAGCAAGGTTTTGGCATGGTAGGCAGGCCATGTGGGATGCAGAGACAGCAGCAACAAAAAATCTGCTAAGGACATCCCGGGCAGTCCGGTAGAAATCAGACCCCAAAACACTCACAGAGAGAGCCACGAGCCCTTCGGGGGCCTCTCCTGGGGCTTGCTGGGCAGGGCTTCTGAAAGCAGGTTCCCCAGGACAAGCTCCAACGTGGGGACCCTGAAGGACAGGGCAGGGCAGGGCAGGAAGGCTCAATCCCCCACACCCAGAAGGGCAACAAGCAGATAAGCAAGTGAGGAAAGGCTGGTCTGGGGCACAAAACCCAAGAACGGGCTGAGGGCTCGAGGCAGTAGGAGCGACCTGCCCAGGCTAATGCGGGACCACACACGTCCAATCTGTCCAATCTGCTGAGCTCCAAGGCCAAGGCCACCCCTCCTGGTGGCTCTCTTCCCCAAAACTACGTACATGTGTGTCTGCACCTCCCTCCAAAACCAATACTCTGGCCTCCCCTGCCTCGCTGGGGTCTTTGTTGAGAAGGGGCTGACAACGCCCAGGGCCGCGAGAGCACAGGTGCAGGGACCCACAGTCTGTGACCCAGAATCCTGGGGAACGGGACTTATGTCCCCTCGGGCTGCCCTGTCACCCCTTGCTGTCACCTTCTCTGGACAGGAGGCATATGTGTGTGCAAACACGCGGGGCACAGACAAGGCTAGGTGATACGACCCTGGCTAAGAGGCACATGGAAGTCAGTGTGTGAGGACAAGGGTGTGGTCCCACGACACACCCTCTACACACACCCGCAGAGACTGCACAGCGGCGGCATAGTCCCGAGACCCCAGGGTACCCCAGGACTCAGAAACTTTCAAAGGCAAAAGTTCGGCCACTTGATGTCCCATGCTGGCTCTATTTGGTTCACCCATCTACCCCAGAGGCAGCCAGAAAAGGATGCTCTCAATCTGATTTCTCCTTGCCAAGCAGTAGGGTTAGGGAGACAGAGCTTTTCCATCTACTCCCAAATGACAGATCCTAAGGAGCTGGTCGGTCTCCTCTGAGGAGCCCCATCCTCTCAGAGGGGTGGGGGGAGTCAGGTGGACCTGGTGGGCAGTGGAGGCTTTGGGGGCTCCACAGTATTCATCTACCCAGGGGAATCCGAGTTATTCTCCTCCATCTTTTTCTTTCTCTCTCTCTCTCTCTCTCTCTCCCCCTTCCCCTCTGCAATTCACTTCCCCCTCCCCACGTTGCACTTTCTTCTCTCCTTCTCCAAAATTGGCCCAAAGTCCTCCTTCTGGATTCAAGGGTGGTCAGGATTCATGGGTCCCCTCCCCACATGCCCCATCCCCACTGCCCTGGCCCTGGGCGAGGGGTGGCGTTCATCTCTTCTGGCCGGCATTCAGCATGACCTTGGAGACGAAGTTGACGATGGCGGAGGCGGGCTGGTTGGGGTCAAGCTCAGCGAAGAGGTGGCAGGCGTTGTCGGTGGTGCTGCCCTGCTTCCGGGCCACGAAGCCGAAGAGCCTGTGGGGGGTGGCGGGGGCAGGGGGGGGGGGGACGGGGGGGGGGGGGGGGGGGGGGGGGGGGGGACACCGGAGACCTGGGAGAGCTGCTGGTGTGAGCAGGCCCATCCTCAGCTCGAAGCCCCTCCCCGGTCTTCCCACCTCCCCCTGCACATGGGACCGGAGAGAATCCTCCCTCTTGTCCAGCCCCAGAAAGCCAGGTCCCAGGGATGAGAGTGTCCCTGGTTTCGGGGTAGGCAGTCATTCCCCTTTGAGGAGCAATGGGGGAGGAGGAGCTGGAAGCAAATGAGGAGACTGGACAGCAAGAGGTGGGGAGGAGACCAAAAATAAAACAGGGACATTCCTAGGCAGGCTTCTCTGGCACTTCCCAGCCCCACCCGGCCCAGCCTGTTCTTGCACACAACACAGAAGCACGTGAAGAAAACACAGACGGCCCGTCAGAGTGCTTGGCCTCCTCAGACACCAGGAGAGGATCGGGGAGACAAAAGGACAAGGGGTTGCCAACCCCCTCACACACACACACACACACACACACACACACACGCACACACACACACTTCTCCTCGGCTCAAGAGAATGGGAGGGGATGGGGGACCCCACACCTGTTCCTCCCCACCCCCACTCCCTGCACCAGAGTGACCTGGCATTCTCTCTGCAAAACAGAGTTAAAAATATGAGCAGAGAACAGAATGTGAGCCCAGGTCCCCTCCCAGTCAGCACATTGCTAATTAGAGCGAGATGGGGAAATCAGACAGCTGGAGATTCCGATGGAAACCCCTCTCCCCAGGACTGGACCACAACAGCTAAAATTAGCAAAGTTGGGTCCTGCTTGCCCCCACCCTCACGCGTAAACACACACGCACACGCACACGCACACGCACACGCACACGGACGTAGGACTTCCTACAGCTTTGCTCTCCCCACCTTTGTTTCAGGAGCCTGAAGCAGCTAGGGCCCACAGTCCGGGATGATGACCTGCCCAAGTGCAGGGGACGCCTGGGTCCATGGCCCAAGCCCCAGCACCTCCCTTCCAGGCCGCTCAGGCTCCTCGGTGCCCAGGAGGGCAGCAAGGGCGGAGGGAAGGAGTGGCCGAGCCACCACAGGACCTCGAGCCAAGCCTGGCTGCCTGCTTCTGCCAGGGTGGGGAGCCGGCCGACCTCACCGGCCTAAGCATGGCCCGCCTACCCCCCACCCTGCTGTTTATTTCAGCTCCCCCAGCCAGTTCAATGACTGCCAGGTCCCTTCTCTGCTGGGGGGGATGGATCCAGGCAGGAAACCTCAGCCCCAGGGCAGGGAGGAGCACTTGCAGGAACCTGAGAACACGCCTCCTGAAATCTGGGGCCTCGGGTGCCTGGCATACCTACCCCCCCACCCCAACGCTGTCCCCTGACGGAGCCAGGCTCTCCTGGGCCTCTGCCCTGCAGAGCAAGGTCACGTCAGCAGGAAGCTCAGCACAAAACCAGCTCCAGAATGAGGAGAACAACTTCCGGGCTTGGGAGCAGCCCACTTCTGTCCCCCACCCATCATCTCCCCATCACGGGGCCCGGATGGATGAACTCCTTCAGACACAGAGCTCGGAACCAAGGATGAACCAAGGATGAACTCCTTCAGACACAGAGCTCGGGCCTGCTTGCTTGGATCAGGGACTCGGAGACCCTAACGGTCCTGGGAACTCAGAGAAGCCAAAAGCAGGTGTGAGGCATGCTTTGAGATGGCTGGACACCTGGGTCCTCCTTTCAGCTGGGCCGCCCATTCTTTACATGACCTCGGGCACGGCGAGGTCCCCTCCATCCCACACAGCCCCTCTGAATGCTCCCAGGGGCGTTCATGGAGCTTTCCACTGCTGAGCAAGATTCCCTCCAGACTACAGGATTCACAGAGGCTCACCCAAAGAGTGAGAATGGGAATCAAGGAAGCCAGGATTTGGGCAGAAAGACCATTCAAACAACCCCCTGCCCCGTGGCCACAGCCTCCAATATGTTTCCAGCTCTCTGTCCACTTCCCCAGCTCCCTGACAGTCCTAGGAGAGGCAAGGTGACAAGACTAGCTCCAGCCTCAAGAAAGGAGAAAGAAAGGAGAAAGCAAAAGTCCTTGCTGCTTGGCCAAGCTTTTCTCCTGAGTGACTGACCCCAGCACAAAGGCCTCTGTTACCCTTCACCTACCCCTGGCCCCAGATTCTAGGCCTCCCCCAGGAGCAGCCCACTGGGGCAGGGGAGAAGGCACTTACTTAGCGGGGACACCTCCCTCTGTTTTCATCCACCTGTGGAAAGAAACACACCATCGCATAAAACACTACACCTTTTTACCGCCCAGAACCCGGCCCCTCACATGACGAGGCCTCCCAGGGGAAGGCAAGGGAGACCCCATTCCAGGTGGATGGGGGCCTCCAAAGATCAAGCAGGGGGAGGCACTGAGGGTGAAGAGAACACCGCAGCCTGTCTCCCAAGGAGCTCTGGTGTGCAGAGGAGAAGCAGATTCAAGGTCAAGGATATGGCAGAGGGCATGGAAGCAATCAGCTAACTCCCTGGGAGGGTCTCCAAATATGTGGTGGGAAAAACTCAGATAGCTACTCAACACAATTACTCACAGTCTCACAGACACAGGCAGACCTTCACTGAACCAAGAATATTCACCCTCAGCCACACGTGCACACACTTGCACACATGGAGACTCCAGTGTTCTAAAAGTGTGCAGAAGGGAAGGTGTTTGCAGAAGACTTACTTTCTCTCCTGAGGATCCAGGTCACAGAAGGTGACAGTGTTGAGTGGGTAGTGTCGCCTGAAGAAGAGCCTGAGGTACAGATACCAGGTAAACAGAGAATGAGCGTGGAAGTGACCACTCTCTTCCAACCTCCCCTTGCGGGTCAGGCCACCACGTGTGGCTGTCACGGACTGGCCCAGCCTCCACCTTATACACAAGATGGCCTGGGCCACTCGTAGAAGCGATGCCCAGGGACAAACAGACACGTCACTGAAACGTGTCCCAAACGCTAGTAAGTGGGAAAAGAAGGAAGAAATTGGTATCGAAGAAGGAGAAAATGAGCAGACCCTGGAGGAGGAAGGAAAGAAGTAGGAGGGAGAGTCTGAGAGGAAAGGCTCTGCTCTAGAAAGCAGGCACTTTTGTCAGTTGTATTTATGGCTGTGTGCTCAATCCAGGCACAACTGTAGTAGGAAAGATGGAAGGAAGGAAGGATGGATGGATGGAAGGATGGATGGATGGATGGATGGATGGATGGGTGGATGGATGGGTGGATGGATGTATGGAAGGGTGGGTGGGTGGATGGGTGGATGGAAGGGAGGATGGATGGATGGATGGACGGACAGAAGGAAGAATGGATGGATGGATGGATGGATGGATGGATGGAATGGTGGGTGCGTGGATGGATGGATGAATGGAAGGAAGGATGGATGCATGGATGGATAGAGATAGAAATGGATGATGGGATAAATGGGTGGGAGAGGATAAATGGAGGATAAATGGATGCAGGAATGAGCGAATCAACTGGTGAGTGGATGAGTAACTGGACGGATGGGTGGGTGGGTGGTGGATGGGTGGGTGGGTGGGTGGGTAGAAGAGTGGATAGGTGGCTGGATGAGCTGGCAGGTGGATGGATGGATGCATGGATGGGTAGGCGGATGGGTGGGTGGGTGAACAGGTGAGTACAAGGAACAAATGGTAAGCGTGTGGGTAAGTAGATGGATAGACGGTCACTGGGAGAGAGCCTGACATGGAAGCAAGTAGAAGAGGCTTACTTTCTCTGGTTGTCAGTCAATGTGATTCCCTGGGCAGAAACTTTGAAGTGAACGATGGTGGCAGCTGGTGTGGGGTCAGCAGCCAGCGTCTCAGAAGTGGCTTTGGAAATGGCCTGTGGCCCAGTGAGCGACTCCATGTCCACGGAGTTGACGAACAGCACGTTGCAGGCTGGAATAAGCCCACCCAGAGAGGAGTCAGTGGGGCCACAATGGGGTGGGGGGGGGAGGGATGACACACCACGTCAGCTCTTTGGGGAGAAGGAGTGGATGAATTCTAGGCCAGCCCCCAGCCAGGCATCTGCACAGACATGTGGACTGCCTGGCGATATTCGGGTCTGAGGGAGGGACAGGGCAGGCCAGAGGAGAGGGGAGGAGCCTGTGTGGGGACCCAGGCTGGGGCAGCCGCTCACCTGCCCCTTGCTTCAGCAGATCAGTGGTGGAGTTGGCAGGGCCCGAGCTAGCTTTCGACTCATCTGTGGGGTCTGAAACAAAAATTTAATTCAGCTAGTAATTAAAACTCGAGAGCTGGAAAGCAGCACACGTCTGGTTGAGCCTCAGGCAAGCTCTGCAAATACTTTGTGCAACGGATACCGCTTTTCATAACAGGCCCTGGCAGGTGGCACGTGTGTGTCTAGTTGGAACATTCCAACAGTGACGGCAAGTGTGCCGCACGCGGGGGGAGCGCTCTGGAGTCCAACAGTGTGGGGTTCAGACTCTTGCCCCAGCATCTGCCAAGGAATTATAACATGGAGATGCGATTGTACCCATTTTGCTGGGCTTTTGAGATGTTCCACGCACAGGAGGAGCCCAGTGCTTGGCATAAAGCAGGTCTTTGAGTGGCAATGGATGTCGCTCTTGTCATTGCCCGTTGGTATGTCTTTGTGTAGCTCCATGAGGGCCCTAAGCCATCAAGCCCTTAATGAGACACAACTATAATTTCAATATTAATAAGAACTGAGTATTGTCAGTTCTTACTGACACGCCAGACTCTGGTGTGCAGGCTTATGAAAACCCAGATGGCCGAGCCCCACCCCTGAGTTCCTGAGTAGGTGGGGCCTGAGAGTATTTGCATTTTTAACAAGTTCCCAGGACGGCCAACCCCGTGGGTCTGGGAACCATACTTTGCAAAGCGCTGTTTTCTACAATGTAAATATCAAACAGTTTTGTAATTGCTCAACTACTTTCATAAATTTCATAGAACTATAATTTAGTTGGTGTCCAAAATGCGGGGTTAATAATGCTACTTAAGTTGTATTTGAACCTTTAAACCAATAATGTTGGTCAATTATCATTAATAATTCAATGAATTGAGTTGGATACATTGAAAATATCAAATAATACTGGGGTTTTTGTGTGTGGGCATAACCACAGGAGCTCTGAGAGAAACTGGAAGAAATTCCCAGAGACACTTCTGAATATCCTAGTTTTGAACAGAGGATGGGGAGAAGGGACCCAGTCTCTAGTTCCTAGACCTCGAGGTCAAGGTCAAGCACAGTCCCCCACGCATGGTCCTTGTATGTGGGGCCGGGTGGCAGAACCCCATCCCATATCTGTCCTGGATGTCTGTCCACCCTCCTCCAAAGCTGAAACACTTCTCTGACAAGGGCTAAACTCTCCTTCACTGGGCCCATGGTCCCACTCAGATTCTCACCTATAAATTCCAAGGCTCTCGGGTTCCATTTATACTTCCCACAACCAACAAGCCTTGCTCTTCCCATCAGTTCTGCAACCCCTCAGTCAGAGAACACCCTCACAGCCGAGCAGACCGGAAACTCCAAGGACATCTTGGCCCCGTTTCCTTCCCACGCCAGGCAGAGCCTGGCCACCTCTTCCTCCGACTGCACTCCCTCCTCTTCGCTCATGCCAACCTCCAACCCCCGGGGAAGGTCCCCCACCACATAAATCCTCCTTCCCCTCCCCCTCCCCTCAGCCCCGTCCACCAATGCCCATCTCAGCCTCTACACTTGATCCTCCCCCTGACTGTTTCCTACTTCTAGTGCCTCCCCTGGGCTTATTCTGAAGATTCGTGAAAGAATTCCTTAAAGCCACCAGAGAATTTTCCAGAACAATCTGGCAAGTCAATTATGTGTGTTCCTGGAGTTAAGTTTTTTAAAGAGCTTTCCTTCTTTTGTATTGGGTGGGGTGGGGGGAAGGAGAGAAGTTTTGAATTTCCCCAGACTGGCAAAATGACCCATGTCCTCCAACCCTGGCCTGTGTTCTGGAGCAGCTGGCAGAGCGGACACAAGAAGGAGGCCAGCTCGGAGATGTACTTGGAGAGCAAGGAGTCTCACGTTCCTACCTCGGTTTGGAATGACCAGCTTACAGGGCAGAGCCAGTGGGATGATGGAATGCTGGTAGACGAGGGCAGAGAGAGACCCTGTGGGAGGAGATAGCACGTCAGGACCGGTGTCCCTGGGAGCGGGCCAGGGCGCTGGGGAGCCCAGACACCCCACCCCATTATCCATAATCTCTGGCTTCTTTATCACCTCTCCCTCAGTCCAACAATGAAGCTAAAAACCCACCCCCTTCTTGTTAGCAAGATCTAAGGGAGAAGTTTCCAGAGGTTCCCTCTAGCTGCCACAAAGGTCCTTTCCAGAAAATTCCTCCCAACATCTCTCTTCAGTCCTTCCAGCTGCTGGGGCCCCTCTCAGGACAGTGCAGCAGAGGTAGCAGAGAATCATGGGATGAAATCCCGGCTCAGTCACTTATCAGCTCTGTGTTCCTTGGGTAAGTCTGGCTTCTGTGAACCTCATGTGGGAAATGGGGCCATAACACTTCCCAGGCAGAACTGTGAGGAGACCAGAAGTAATAAAAGGTTCCCAGACGGTGACTTTCACATTGTAGGGGGCCATCTGTGGTTGTTATTCAAATTCCAATGATCAAGCTTTTCAGGCAGTGGGACAAATATGAAAAGGCCTGTGGCTAAGCAAAGCAGCCACAGTACAGAGGACAAGGGCCACTGGTCCCTGCACCCATGACAAGGGGGACCAGGGGCCACCTGAGACTCTGCGGGCAGGTTATGGAAGCGGGGGACAGCTCACCAAAGTTTGGCTCATTGGGGCACCCCTTGAGCTTGACTCCTCTGGGGCCGGTCTCGATCAGGAAATGTCTCACCAGCTCGTGGGTCATGTCCCCTGGGATGAAAAGAGAGGAGGAAAGAGCACTTTTCGTGGCACCCTCCCTCCACCTGCCAATGGCACTCCATCACTTCTCACCACTGCGGCTTTGGGAGGGGAGCAAGGCTGGGATGGGTAGTATGGCCAGAACCCCAGAATGGAGAGACCACCACTCAGGCAAATACAACCACAGGGTCCCATAATCCTGCTTCCCTGTGCTCTGACCCCAGCCATCACTAGGCCCAGGACTTGCTCTCCTGAAGAGTCTGACTCAGCAGGGACCAGGACCCTGCTGCTCTTGGGGTCCTCAGGCACCTCAGTCTCCGAGGACACAGGACTGACGACCCTGTTGTCTAGAAGCCCTGTTTGAGGAGGGGGAGCTACCTTTTTTATTCTGCTGCATGATGGTCGGAGGGGGAGAAGACACCTTCATGGCCAGCCCATAGGCCCCTCGGAAGGAGTGGCTGTCACGGATGATGAAGGCCCCTGGCTCCTGGTCCTTGAGGAGTGCGATGGCTGGGATGGGAAGGAGATGAGGAGAGAAGGGGGAGAGGACAGAGATGGCCGTGATCTTAGTTGTGACTCGAGGCCTATCGAACCTCGTTCTTTAGAACTGAAGGTTCAGAAGGGTCCTCCTCTGCTACAGGAGACAAGTGTCTTCTATGAAAGCCAGGTAGTAGATATTCCGGGCTTAGCAGGAATATCTACTACCTACTCCTGCTGCAAGCACAGGGCCACCATGGCCACCCAACAGCAGCCACACACAATACGGAAGCCAGCCGACACGGTGCATTCCCCTAAACTACAGTTAAACCAACAGGCAACAGTCCAGTTCGAACCTGTCGCCAACACCTGCCTGCCTGGGGAGCCTGAAGTGGGCATCATACCCAGCCCCACTATCCCAAGTTTGCTTTTTCTGTAAAACGTGCATAAATCTTCCACCTTGTGTAGACACGGGGCTGAGATCTGCTATTACGTTAGCTGGCCTTTTACTTTACTTGGAAAACCTAGACTTCACTGATTTTAAGGACCCTTCATGGGTCTACAAACCCTGCTTCTGCACTACCCCCACGCTTCACTGTGGGGACGTGCCTCTTACTGTCTCACCTGTGACTGCCACGTGTGACAAAAAGGAGGAAGTCTGCTTGTGTTCCGTGCCCAAGGAAGACACGGTGGGCAGCGGGCAGCAGTGACCTCCAATGGACCACAGGACCCTTGTGCCACCCGGGACTCACCCTGCTCTCTGGAGATCTCAGGCTTGTACCAATACTTGGAAGTGTCCTGAACAAACTTCACTTTAGCCCGTGTCTCAGGACTGTTGTCTACGAGAGAGGAAGAGAGAGAAACAGCGTTAGGGATTGAACTGTAGCCCCCAAGAAGGTCTGTTGGAGCTCTAAGTCTGGGTACCTGTGAATACGACCTTATTCGGAAATAGGGTCTCTGCAGATGTCATTAAGGTAAGGTGAGGTCGTGCTGGGTGAAAGGGGCCCCAATGCCGTAAGACTTATGTCCTTATCAGAAGAGGGGAAGACACAGAGACACGTGGGGAGGGTCATGGAGACGGAGGCAAAGACCAAAGGGTGTGTCTATAAGCCAAGGGACACCAGGGATTGCCAGCCACCATGAGAAACTAAGAGGAGTCCTAGAGCAGAATCTCCCTCGAGCCTCCAGAAGGAACCAAACCTTCGAAAACCTTGACTTTGGACTTCTAGCCTCTAGCCTGGGAAGGATTAAATTCTGTCGTCTCAAGTGACCAGGTGTCATGGTGGTCACAGAAAACTAGCACAGGAAGGCAGTGTCCTCACTGCTAGAGGGGACCTTGAGCAGCCTGCCCATCCTTCCCCTCTCCTGCCAACTGTCATGCATCATGAAGCTGCTCTCCTGTCCAAGAGCCTGGCACAGCATTCTCCCTGAGCTGAGGAAAGGCCTCCTCCACTCCATCCCCTCCTTTCTCCAGAAGATTTGGACTAAACCCTTCCTGCAGCTTCTCTCCCACAGGCTAAGGCACCCCACCTTTTGGCCTCTTTCTCCATAAGATGGACTTCCCAGTTGTGTCATAACTACTGCAAAGATGAGAGAAGAAAGAGACATTCCCATCACTTCTTCCCCAGCCCCCCTAGCCCCTCATGCCCTATATGGAGAGCCCGTGTTCTGCATCACAAACAAATTCAGCCCTGCCCTGGAACAGAAGAGGATCTGCCCTGGAACAGAGGAGGGGGTGGCCTAGAGGCTATCTACTGTGCATCATATACCTGCCCCACTGACCTGGCAAATGACCCTCACTCAGACCCTCCACAGACCAGAGACGCTTTATGGAGCATTTAGATTCTGAAAGATGCTCAGAGAGCATCGAGTCTGACCACTTAACTTTACAAATGAGGGAAGTGAGGCTCAGAGAGGGAGAGGGACCTGCCCAAATCACACAGCTGGTTCTCGGAAAGGCTCCTGTAAGTCCTTCCCAGGTAAGGAAACACAGCCGCCAATGTGTGGTCCTCACTCTCCAAGCAGCTCCTTCATGTTTTGGCACCAAAGAAACAAATGGGGGGCTGGAGGAAGAGGGAGCAAGGAAGATTCCAATTGCATACGTGTTTTTGCTCTCCTTTCTTGGAAGAGAAACTGGCACAGAGGGAGCCTGTGCTGATGATGCTGGGAAGCTGATGGTGAGGACCAAGCCACGAGTTAGACTGTGTCCAACGCTCAGTTCATTTCGACTTGTCAGTTACACCGTGCTCAACCCCTGGGACCGGCCTCCAGAGGACCGCGAGGGGGTAGGCCAGCTCCCTTTCCTGGCAGCTGTGCGTGGAGGGGGGTGCTCGGGGCTAGGCATCTGGGCCACAAAGGCTGCCTGCTGCCTCTCTCTCTCTCTGCTCAGAAGGCCCAGGCCCCCACTGCTGCTGGGGCCTAATGAGCTGTCAGAGGCGGCTGGAGCCCCATGTGCCTTCCTGTGTTGACTCCAATGGCTATTTTAAGCAGGGAAGATGGTGGGAAACAGGAAATGTCCCAACTACTAGAAGTTTTCCATCCTCCAAGAAGAGGGGCTGGGAACCAGATGTCCCTGGTGGGCAGCAGGAAGCAGGGATGTGCAAGGTCCTTGTAGGTGTCCCGAGTTGGCAGGCTCAGGGCAGGACCCGGGAGAGTCATACTGAGCATCAAGGCAGCTGGGGCCCATCCTGGGCTGCCAGAAACTGTCTAAATCATCCTCGAATGCCCCAGAACCCCGGGGCCACTCTGCAACAGTCATGTTCCAGGACTGGCTGAGAGCTGCGGATCAGCTGAGGCCTTGACCTTTGTGTTTAATAATGAGCCCTCTCCACAGAGGAGAAAAATGCCTAGTTCTGGTGATGAGTGAAGAATTCAGTGCGTGAACACGCAGGGGCTTCTGCAAAGCCAGGACGGTAGGAACCAGACTCCAGCAAACGTGCCCAACCCCCGGCCTCGGCCCACAGGGCAGCTGGCTGTTTGATCCGTTATTAGTGACATGCACACAGGGGGATCAAAAGGTGGGGACAGAGTGCCGTGAGTGACCAAACGTAGGTGGTCCACGTTGGGAAGGCAGATTTTCAAGGGAAGGCTAAATCACAAGTATGAAAACATGATCATTCAACTCCAATCATGCTTTAAGGGCACAAACTTTAGGGTACACGGGCCCAGATCAGAAATCATTTATCAAGTGTGTAACCCTGGATGAATGACTGAGCCTCCCTAAGCCTCGGTTTGCTCCTGCATAAAGTGGGGGTTGTAAGGGGGGCACCTGGATGGCTCAGTGGGTTAAGCATCTGCCTTCGGCTCAGGTCATGATCTCAGGGTCATGAGATTGGGACCCGCATTGGGCTCTGTGATCAGCAGGAAGCCTGCTTCTCCCTCTCCCTCTGTCCCTTCCCCTGCTTGTGTTCTCTCTCTCTTAAACAAATAGTAAAAATCTATAAAATAAAATTTAAAAATAAAATTAAATTAAATTAAAAATAAAATAAAATAATAAAATAAAACAAAATAAAATAAGGGCAAGAATACCTACTGTGCCATGCAGCCGTGAAGATTAAGGAGCCCATGAGTGGCTCAGAGCCTGGCACACAGCACGTGCTCAACAGGTGACAGAAGCCAGGCTGGGGGAGAGGATCATCGTTCACGGTAATGTCACCATTATTACTCTCCTCCTCCTCCTCATCATCCTTGTGGGCACCCACGTCCTCATCACAGAATCCGCACCCAGCACACGTACTCTGAGGACACCTCAACTCCCATTGTACAGACAAGGAGACTGAGCCCCAGAAGTCAGTGATCTGCTCAAGGTCATGTGCCAAAAAGACGTCAGAACAGAGGCGGAGACAGATACCTGAACCGACAGACAACCCATCACAGTAGAGGCAGGGGCGGCAGGAGGGGCTCACCTGGCATGGAGTACTTGGAGAAGTCGGGCAGCGTGTGGGAGAAAGAGACAGTGCTGCCCCCGCTGGGACTGGACATGCCGCTGGCCACAGGCGAGGAGGACACCTTCCCATTGACGGTGGCATAGTTGGGGAGGCTGCCCGCGCGGTCTCCCACGGACATTCTCCGCTTTTCCGGCAAGGCTGGTGTGGGGCTCCCTTGACGGAAGGCTGCTGAATCCGGCGACGGGGAGGCGGCAGGGCTGCTCAGGCCCGGGTAGTAGGCAGGGGACACGGGGAAGGAGGGCGTGGAGGGAGCCTGGTAGCCAGAGGCACTGCTCTGCCGGGACAGTGTGGGTCTTGGGTCCTCGGGGGTGGAGTGACCACCGTAGGCCACGTGCCGGTCCAGGCTAGGGCTGCCAGGAACCACAGATCCAGACCCTCCCAGGTGCCGGCCCATGCTGGGGCTTCCTGGGCTGGCTATCGTGTTGCCATGGAGACCAGGAGCCAGGCTGCTTTGGTGGGCCCCGGGGTGCCGGCCCAGACTGGGGCTTCCTGGAGTCGTGGCCACACCACCATGGAGGCCAGGAACCTGGTGGGCCCCGGGATGCCGGCCCAGGCTGGGGCTTCCCGGAGTGGTTGCTGCACTACCCTGGGGGCTGGAGACGGTGCTGCCATGGAAACCAGTTCCTGCTGGACCCATCACCTGGCGGTGGCTCAGACTGGGACTACCAGGGGCTGCCAGGCTGGGATTGATGGCCCGGCGGCCAAAGCCAGGACTGGGGGGGGTGTTGGTGCCCACTGTCCTGTGGCGTGCCTGAGGGCTCCCAGGCACCGTGTGGACGCCGGCCACAGTGAACTGAGACCGCGCCTGGCCTTCCGGGGAGCCGAACTGCTGAAGGGAGTAGTCGGGGCTGCCGTAGCTGCTGCCCGCAGGCGGGAGAGGAGAAGAGCTCTGGTAATTTCTCTGAGCCGAAGGGCTGGGCTGGCCCAGGCTCCCGGGACGGAAGCCCGAATCCAGCAGAGGCTGGGTGGGTGTCCGGGGGCCCTGGTCACTGCTTTCCCCAGACGGGAAACTCCCCACCGAAGTGCTAGAGAGAGAGGACGAGTGAGATGTCAAGGTGAAGACCAAGCTCTCCGTGAGCACGCAGCCCACCCTCCTACCACCAGCAACGATAAGAGTTCTACTGGCATGTGTGCCAAAATGTCATGACTTTTGCACATCACCCTATGGAAGCAGCAGAAGAAGAGACAGAGGCTCAGAGAGGTGTAGCACTGAGCTCATGACCACACAGTAAAAGACCAGGGTTCCAGCTCAACTGCATCTGATTTCAAAGCCCATGTTTCCCCCACTGCCCCTGTTGACTCCTAAACCGCAAGTCAAAATGAGGGGGTCTCCCTAGGGACACTGAAGATAGCTATCCTCATGTCACCTCCAATATCACCAAAACTGAACACCAGGGAGGGGTCGACCCACCTCGCTCCTGTTCCTGCTGGGAGCATCCCCACCTGGACTCACTTTTCCCAGAATACTATGACTGTCTTCGGACACAGAGAGTACTGGAATTGGGCTTTCACTCCTGGTTAGCTCCAGAGGCAAAGACAACAAGTCTCACAGAAGATTTCGGCCTATTGCAAGGTCTGCTTTCCGGCCGTTGGATCTGGCCCCTAAGTCAGCAAGCTGCCTTGCATGGTAATGAGACTCCTGTGGTTAGCAGTATTTAAGCAGAAGCTGATAGCTTCTTGACCTGAATGATGAGGGGGTGGGGGGGGGAGATCTTCTCTATTGGGGAGGTTAGATTAGATGAGCTCAGAGGTCGCTCCCCATTCTAAGATTCCAATAAAATTCACTTCAGAGGGGGCTGGCCCTGGGGGAATGGCCACAATCATAGATTCTCCTCTGAAGTTTTGTGCAACTATCTGTACAGCAGGGCAAAGCAACAGCCACCAGCTGGGAAACCTAGGTTCTGAAAAACCTGGTTAACTTTTCTCACATGACAAAAAAGGGGGCTGAGTTAGATAACCCTGATTCCTTCCAGACCCAAAGTCCTACCCTTTGATGATATGGTAGGAGAGGCAAAGGTTGACAGGGACCCTGTCTGAGCTGTGGGGCTGCAGGGCGGTAGCAGGCGGGGTCTGCAGCAGGAGCCCCTGGACAGGGGCCAGGGGTGGGGGGGCAGTCCTTACACAAGATGATGGGTCGAATTCTGGAGCTACAGACTGGAAGGAGTCTCGAGGCCAGGATGGATAAGCTCAGTCCCCGGGGGGACCTGGGGTGGTGGGTCAGGCAAGAGCCAAGGGCAAGAAGCGGGTCACGGGCCAGGCCAAGAAAAAGTCTACCTCGAATCCCAGAAGGAGCTAGAGTGGAATGCCATTCCTGGGACAGAATAACACGGACTCTGAGGAATGGAAGGATGTGTCAAGCTGAGCGGGGCGGGGTGAGGGCCACTGACATGGAGTTCTAGAAGACTAACCCCACAGCAGAACCGCTAGCTTCCTGAGCCCTGAAAAGAGACAACTCTACAGCAGGAAGAATCTCAGTGAGAATCAGTGAAGACATCCTAATGTCAGGGCACCCTGAACAGGAGCCGTGGTGGCTGGCCAGGTTAGGAAAATCCCCTTTCCTTTAAAGGAAGAATTCACCTTCCGCCCAGAAGCAGACTTGCCGAGAAATGGAGCCGTCTGCCCTGTGCAGAGGCTGGAGAGGGGGTGAGATGGACCAGGGTGCTTGCTCGGCTTGAGGTTCTCAATTCTCAGAACACAGAACACAGCCTCTGCCCCCCCGGCCACGCCCACCCCGACCTGGAGGGGCACACTACACCAGGCCAAGGTAGGGCATAGGGTACACAGCAAACTCAGCACCGGGCCTGGCCTGTGACAACAGGAGGGGGTGGCTGGAGAGCTTCTGGGCCCCATAGAAGGCCAACGCAGGAAAGGGGGCGGACACGCAGAGGGACACCTAGCAGTCTCCCCTCCTTGAGGAGAGCTCTGGTCGGGGCAGGCGAGCCCAGTCAGCACCCCCAGGCCTGGCACCCTATGGCAGGGCTGATCTTAAGCTCCCTCTCCCATGTCAGATCCCGTTCTCCCTGTCACAAAGCCTACAGCCCACTCCCCCTGCAGTCCACACACGGGGGCCTCCCTCTTCACAGCCCTTCCCGGCCTGATTCCAGGCTCTCCTCTCTGTCTGACCCACTGAGAATGCCAGCTGTCCATCCACCTTCCCACCTGCAAGTGCATGCTCTCAGCCCCACGAACCAATACATCCACACCCCAGCCCTCTGCCCTGGCTACGCTGTTCCTTCTAGAATGCCCGTTCCCTCCTCCTCCTCCACATCTCTGCAACTGTTCATCCTTCTGGCCTCACCACCGATACCTCCAGCCCCCAGAAACTCTCTCTGCATCCCTAGCCAGAAATAGCGGCCCCTCGCTGGGAGCTCCAAACCCTTATATGTCTGCTCTGGGCACATCTATCACCCTGGGACAGGCAGGCACAGAGAGGCAGGCACAGAGACGCAGGCCCAGGCGAGAGGAGAGACGGGGGCTCTAGCACCAGACGCCTTTGGTCCAAATCCTATTTCTGCTACTGTTTAGCTGCAGGACCTTGAGCAAGCTACGTGGCTTCCCTATGCCTCAGTTTCCTCTTCTAAAAAATGGTATCATAAGAGTACTTACTGCTCAGGATTGCTGAGAGAACTAAATAAAATAACCAGATAAAGCATTTAGCAAAGTGCCTGGCACACCAGAAGCACTCACTACAGAGTGATTGCTGTTGGCTAAGTTTTGAACTTGGGGAAGGACTGGTTCCCCACGGTGGTCCTCATTCCTTCCAGCACAGTTCCGGACAGTGGGATCAAATTCAGCCTGAGAATTATAGTTCATCCACACTCATGCTCCCCATGGGCTTTGGCACCCAAGGTGCTCTCTCGATGCACCCCTATTTCCAAGGTACAGCTATCTGGATATGATTTCTGCCCAACCATGCTCTAGGCAGATCCAAGCCTGGGTCCTCTTCCCCGCTTACCTGTCAGCGCTGAGGATGGGGCTGCTGGTGGAGAGGGGGCTGGGGGAGACAAAGGAGCCTCCCAGGGTCCCGTTCCTCAGGGGCGTCTCATGGCCATAGGCCTGGGCAGCTGGGGCACTAAAGCTCTTGGGCTCGGGGTCCTGAGCTCGGGGTCCAGCCACTGCTGTCCTCACCACCGACTCCACATAGCTCCGGGGTTCTGAAAGGGGGCAGAAGAGAGACTGAGATCCACGGGGGCAGAGTGCAGACCCCTCCCAACCTGCCAGAGAATTCCCCAGCCTGTGGGGACAGCCCCAAAAAGACAGCCAAGCATGCAAAGGGCACTTCTGGGGTTCCATCAGCCAGCCCATGCCTACCCAACTTCCCAGTGTCTTGGAGAAGCTGTGAGAGCCCCCACAGAACCCCAAGAAGCTTCCCAGAAATGGACCCCGGCTTTGCCTCTGAACACAGTTATCATAGAATCTTCCCTCCTATAGTTGAGCACCTCTTTTAGCTGCTTCCTCCCTCCTAGGTGCCCCCTGGCATGGCTGGAGTCTGCTCCGGCCCAGCCTTGCCCATGTTCAGAACAGTGCCAGGCTTCCCGTGGGCTCCACCCACGCCCAGAATCCAGAAACAGGCTTGCTGGCCTAGCAACAGGCCTATGCCCGCGAGACGCACCCAGTCCCTTCCATGCCAAGACACACCCACCCCCACCGTGCCTGACACACTTAGCATTCCTCTGGAGACTGATATCATTATCCCTGCCTGGTGTTTAGAAGAGCCTAAGAATCTGGGGAGTTGGGGGACAAGGGCCAGAACGGGCATTCTACAGGTGAGGACACTGAGGCCTGGGGCATGTGACATCTGGAGGCAGACCGGGAGATCTGATCCCCAGCCGGGATCTGCCTGACCCTTCTCCCAGACCTGTGGGGCCAGGCCTGAAAGACACAGGGAGAAGCAGCAGGACACTCCTGGCTTCTCCTGGGACATGATCAGGGATAGATGATGCTCCCACCACCTCCAAATCCGGCCCCGCCCTATCTCCCCCAAGTAGGACGTGATCAGAGCACAGCTCATGCACTGACCCCAATGAGGGCATCTGCTGAAACCAGCCTGAGAAAGGGAAGAACCAGAGGGTTTGTGCTGCCCTGGGCAGGCCAGGCTCCAGGAACTTTTGCCGGACAGGGCACGTGGGGGTGGGGCGGGACGTCAGCAAAGGGACAAACAAGCATGGCGTGAGGCAGAGCCAGCCAGCTCTGTGCCCGAAGCTGGTGTCCGTATAGGCGGAGCTCAGTGTAGCAAGAGGCCTCCTCCAAAGTCTCCTCAACCAGCCGGGGCCACCCACCCACCTCCCAGGAGCCTCAGGCCCCTTTCCCTCCAAAGGCCTGGATTCTGTGCTGCCCGCATCTGAGGGTTGGAGCCCGGAGACACTGCAGAGACCCTCTGGCCCGGCGCAGGCACACATTTTGTTTTGTAAAAGATTCCACAGTAAATATTTCAGGCCATTTAGGAAATGGTCACTGGTGCAGCTAGTCAAGTCTGCTTTTTCAGCAATCACTCGTAAACAAAAAAGCAGGGCCATGTTACAATAAAACTTTCTTTACAAAAACAGGCAGGAAAAAAAAAAAAAAGGCAGGAGGCCAGAGTTGGTCACAGTTGGCTAACCCCTGACCTCACCCCTCTTCTCGGCCCAGAGAGGTAGAGAGATCTGCCCAGAATACATAGCCAATCAGTGGCCACGGTCTCCTGACCCTCAACGCTGGCTCCTGGTGGCCTAGAAAGGGCCCCAGCATCCTGGGGATGCCGAGAACTGGCAGCTACCCAGTCCGTTAGCATGTCGGCCACGACTATTAATAATGATAAAAATTGCAAACAATTACACGAGGAAAGTAGGAGAACGTCAGTAATTGGAGAACGTAAGCAGCTCACCCCATCACACAGCACCAAGGGGCAGAGTTGGCCCAGGAAAGCAGGCAGTCTGGCCCAGAGCCTGCCCCCTCACCCACGGCACATATGCCAGCCAGCTAAACATCAGGGAGCCAGTGTAGTCTTGGGGGACTAGCTGCGTCCTTGCCATGCAACAAGGACCCCATAGAAACATCAGTGGAGACACGATGCCAGGGCTGACCATCCCTTCTCACCCCTCACCATTCTGGGTCACTCCCTGAATACTCCTCCTACCCTTCTAGGCTCTGGGCTTCACCCCCATGCCTGCAACACTCGCCACCCCCCTCCCACAGGGAGACAGTGAGGGCTCCATCTGCTCCCCGGCCACCCCAGGCCATTTGCTGATCGCTATTTGCTGCTCCCCACACACCTCTGGGGCACACAGCGAGCCCCCGACAGGCGTCTACCCTACAAGCTGGCAGACGCCTGACTTTCACCCTCCAGCGCCCCCCACCCCATGCAGAGATGCATCAGAACTAGGACCTGAGAGGCACACGTTCACTTTTCTCATCCCCTGGAATTCGTACTGACCCCAGAAGTTCAAGCTACAGCCCCCGTGGGTGATTCCTGAAGTCTGTGCCCTTCCACCCATCCATGTCCCCCGTTCCACTGGCCAGCCCGTTCTGTGCCCCTGGAGGCCGCTACTGACAGGATCGCCCAGCCCCTCAGGTCCCAGGGCCCCAGAAGGCTTTGGCCTTCAGCCTGTGAAAGAGACTGGCAGGAGATGGGAGAGAGAGTGAGGAGCCAAGGTCAAGGTGCCAATGCCTGCATCCCTCTACCGAAGACCACAGCTCTGGTCAGGGTTCCTCTCCGCCAGCTCTCTGCTTTCCCTGAGGTTTGGTGTGGGAATGGCTCCGTCTTCCTGCTCGGGATCACCCGGAGGTATTCACCATCCATCACTGCTTTACCCAGACCTTTTAAATAGTCCATGAACCTCTCTGTTGTCCCATAGAATGAGCCATCCATTTCCTACCAGGACCTGGGCCCATACACTGGGTAAACAATACACATTAGCCTACACCCCACCTGTAAAAAAAAAAAAAAAAAAACTACATGTATCCCTTCCACCAGCAGTAAAACAGATAAAACAGGCCTCACCACCCTGTCCCCTAGTCAGAACAGAGCCACAGCAGGGACCCGTGGACACTGATTCCCATCTTGCCTGCTCGCCGGTACACAAGGCTGTGTCCCCACTCACAGCTCCTGGCCTGAACGTGACAGCCTGAGCTCCAGCCGGGGGCCTGCACATAGTTGGCACAGGGTGGTGGTGGGATGGCAGATCAGAAATTCTGGGCTGTCGGGAAGCCCAGCGTGGTCACATTCGTAAGGCATCAGTGTCATCGGTCCCTTCCCCACGGCCACTGGATTGTAAGCCACAGAAGCCAGACGAGAGTTCTGCCTGAACTCGGGGAACAGGATCGCTTCCCCAGGGAGAAGCAGCACCTGCCTCCCTTCCACATGGCAGGAACAGTTCTCAGGCTCAGAGGCCAACCAGCCTCAGGACTCTGCTCCCAGGCTTATAGGATTTCAGTGACCCAGCCCACCCGGCCCTGTCCTCACCTGTTCCCCTCCCTTCCCCAGTCCTGACACACGACCATCCTCGTCTCTGCTCGGCTAGTCCGCTACCATCTGTCACCCCTTCCTGGCCTGCCAGGCCCAACTGGGGGCAGAGAGGAACAAAGTCCTCTGTTTCTCATGAACCCGGAGAAGGACGGACTTTTGGGAAGTTACTTCCTTTCTGGAGTCCATCTCCAGAACTGTTCAAAACCAATCTTTAGGGCCAAAAACAGTTTCAGATTCAGTTATATTGAAAACACCTCCTTTTTCTGTTTATTCTTTGGCTTTTTCTCTCTTCCCAACCACAGGACAACATACAACTCGCAGGATCCCCCTTCTTTCAACTCCTGGAGGGGGTGACCTGAGACAGGCTGCTGAAACTTGCTGGGACTCAGTTTCCTCATCTGTACTAGGGGAATGAGAATACTCACCTGCACAGCCAGGATCAAGTAACAGAGATGGGGAAGCTCCCTCTCGGTCTTTCCTGCTCCACCCCACACCAGCATTTCTAAGCAGCCCTCCCAGCGCCTGCCTCTGTCCCGGTGCCTGCCTCTGTCCTGGCCACACCCGCTCCCGCGTCCCTCAACCCTCTCTCCCACCCTCTCCTGCTACTTTCCTCCTCTCGTCCAGTCCTGGGGCAGCTGCATCCAAAGGAGTTGGGAAGAGTAGGAGAGGTAGGGCCTGAGGGTGCTTCACATAGAACATTCCAGAACTCAGACTTAACTCTAAGTGGCTGTTGGCTGCTGAGAGCAGAAGGAAGCAGAAGAGTGACTTGGCCCCACCAGGCCCAGGGCACGGTCAGCTCTTCACCCCCACCCTGAGGTGCATTTCCTGCCACTGCACACCCACCCCCAAGGATCTAGTCACCTGGTCATCTGTACAGAATCTAACCTAAAGAAGCTTCCACACCTTCTTTCCCTGTTTCATCTGGGAAGATATTCTTGATGCTGACCTCATGTCTTTACTGCTGCAGGCTTTCTTCCTCTCCTTCCTTCATGGAGGAGAGTGCCCAGTCCCCAGGCCCACTCTTTAGAGGTTGTGCCCAGTGCAGTCACATGGAAAAGGGGGCAGCCTCCACAGATCTGGTATTTGCTCTCAGCCGTGCCCCTGACTGACCGTGTTAGGCCTTAGACAAGACATTTAACAGCCCTAAACATCATCTCCTCATTGGTAAAATGGGGTTCCTACCACTTTCTTTTGGATGCATCTGTGATTGCTAAACAAGAAGGTGTGACAATGGTCCTGCATAGTCCTACTCCTGCCTGCTGAACCTCATCCGGACTACATTCCCCCTTGCTCCATCCTCTAGCTCCCTCTTACTCTCAGCCTCACTGATTATGCTATTCCTAGGGGGGAAAAAAATGCAATCCTCTCCAACCCCAGGGCCTTTGTACATGCTTTTCCTCCAAATGGAATGCTCTTCTCACCTACCAGTTTCACCAAGTTAATGTCACTCATCCTCACAACTTACTTCTTCAGCCAAAGTCAGGTTCTTGGCTAGAAAGTCTCCTAAACTATATCCCTTCCCTTTGGAGCACTCTCTCAATATGTAATTCCAAGTAATTTAATTCTGGCTTCTGCTCCTACCTATGCTCCATGAGATGAGGAGTCACAGTACTGCTTATCACTACATTCCCAGAGCCTGGCCCAGGGCACAGCACACGGTAGGCACATAAAATACTGAATAAATGAATCAGTGAATGAGACAATGAATGCATGACAAACATTTAGCACAGTGCCTTGACCAGAGCAGGTTCCCTTAAAGTCTGTTCTTCCTCTAGCTGGGTAATCCTGCCTCTGATCATTTTTCCTCACAGGCATCTTTCTCTGAATTTCTCATCAAAGTCTCAGCAGGGAAATCAAGCAACACTTCAGAGGGTCAGCAAAGAATGTGTTTTAGTCTGAAACGGGAGGCGGTACATGAGTCAGGAAAAATGGAACAGGCTGCCCACAGCCTTGCTCCCTGCCGCTCTCCTGCCCCACCCCCCAGGCCGCAACAGCAATTCCAACCCCACGCTGGAATCCCAGGGCACAGTGCCTAGAGGCAGGAGGAGACAGAGAAGAGTAGGTCCAGTCTGGGTCCTGCTGCCTCCTCACTGCGGCCTTGGGCAGAAGCCCCAGACCCCCAACCCCACAACACAGGCCTCAGCCCCACATCCATGAAAATGATGGGTGTAGCTGAGGAGATCCGCAAGAACCTTCCCCTCCAAACTCTGTGGCTCCAGGACACAGGGAAGAGGGCCGGAGGCCTCGGGGCTGTGAAGGCTGAAAGGCATCTGTGAGGCAAAACAGGCAGGTCTCAGTTCATAACTGCTAATACTCACTTCTCTGAAGCATTGCCCCCAAGCGGGAAACATAGCATCCAGGGCCTGTCAGCTCCTGGAATAATCTCCCCTCACAACCTCCCACTAAGAGCGTTTGTGGGAAAGAAAGAAAGGAAGGAAGGAAGGAAGGAAGGAAGGAAGGAAGGAAGAAAGAAGAAAGGAAGGAAGGAAGGAAGGAAGGAAGGGAGGGAGGAAGGAAGGAAGGGAGGGAGAAAGGAAGAAAAGCTGATAGAATTCCTTTAAGGAAACCAGGCTGCAGAGAACCAGGACCCAAGTGGGAGGTCAGAACATCTAACACGTCAGAGCTGGAAGGGACCTCAGCCTCCCCCCATCCAAGGCCCCCTGGTGAAGGAGAGGGGGACACGGATGCCCAGAGCCACACACAAAAGGCCTAGGCTGGCACCCTCTTCATTTCACCTCATGCTCTGACTTGTCATTTGAATTCTGTCCCTAATAAGTTAAAGGTCTCCAACCCAATCAAGTCCCCTCTCTGCTTTCCTTTCTCTGCTTACATCCCATTCCCTGCTTCAGGTACAACGCAGAGTTCATCTAAATCGAGGGTTAAGCTGAGCCACAAACATGCGAACTCCAGGAAACTCAAAATTACATGCATGGGTGTCCCGACTCACTCATGTGGGGGTGGACTCATCGCTGTTCTGAGAGCCCCAGAGGCATCCAAGCTCCCGGAAGGACAGACTTCCTACCATCTGTGTTGAGAAGCCCCAAGCATGGGCTTCAAGAAGCCTACTCTCAGCTAAGACTGCTGAGAAGGCCTGCTTTGAGTGACACACATGGAGTGCCCCCAGGCAGCAGAAGAACGTGCGTCCCTTCGCCCGCCGAGGGGGCTGGCAGCAACCCCAGTCAAGCTAGTGGGGGTGCGGCTGTAGGTGGGGGTCATCACCAGATGGCACCGCCCTGGCGCCTGGAGCCGGCTATGCCTGAACCCCAGCCCAGCTTGCCCGTCAGAACTCAGGCAACATCCAGGGTGAGTGACAGCTCATCACAGGGTAGGGGGTTGGGGAACAGAAGGCTATGTGTCCAGTCATCTGAGACCTGTCAGGAAAGAGAGCTACCCCCGAGCCAGCCCGGGCAAGCTACTCAAGAATGGCCATTCCTAGACCCAGAGAGCAGGAAGCGGCCACACAGCAAAGCCACACTTACCTTTGGGAAGCTCGGTCACCACCTTCCCCTCATCCTCCTCTGAGGGAAGATGAGAGGAGAGGTAGGAGGAAGGAGAGGCAGGAAAGAGAGGCAGGTGAGGAGGAGAGGAAAAGCAGAAAGGAGAGAGAGAGATCGATTAACAGAGATTATTTCCTGAAAGACAATCCGCTGAGAAAAAAGAGGCAGGAAAGCAGGGGTGAGACCGGGGCAGAGGAGCCCAGGGTAAGAGGTGAAGTCCACCCTGACACGGCCCTGGGGGCTTGGGACACATAGTCTGAAGAGGGCTTCAGTCTCAGGGACAAAGCCGCCCCCTCCCCACCGCCAGCCCCTACGCCTGGGGCTTGCATCTCAAGCAGAAGTGTGCTGGCTGGTGAGAGGAAGCCCCAGGCCCCTTGTGCTCCCTGGTGACTCAGTGTCCCCGGCCATGCAGACACCTCCAAGGGGGAGGCTGTGCCGGCCGTGTGTCCATGTGGGTCACACATGTGTGTCATTGCCCTCCTACCTGGCTGGATCAGTCTTCTGGTGACTAAGGAAGAAAAGCAAAGTTGGCCCCAAGAGCCCCAGCCCAGCCCTAAAACCAGAGACAACCTTCTGGTCTCAGCCTGCTCAAAACGGCCACTCAGGGACCAGGGCCCTCTACTCTCCCCTTGCCCACAGGGAGGAGGGGAGCTGGGGGATGTGGTGAGGAAGTGGGAGGTGGGAACTGGGGTGTGTGTGTGCACGCACAGGTGTGTGTGTGTGTGTGTGTGTGTGTGTGTGTGTGTGTGTGTATGGGGGGATAGAGCCAGGCTTCTGGCAGGGAGCTAACCCAAGGAAACTGAGGCCAAGCATCCAAATCCCCAATTCAAAGCCCCTTTGGAGTGGCACTGACCCTACCTGTCCATGGGCACGAGGTTGCAGAGGGACCTATCCCCCTCAACCCCTGCAGAGAGCCCCCCTCCTCAGGACTGACCGCATTGTGGACACAAAGCCAGGCTTTCTTGTTTCCAGAGGGTCCTGAGGACCCATCACCTCTGGGCATTTTTTGATGAGATCCCGAGGCTCGGCCCAGGACCACAGGGGTCCTCCGACCCCTACTCCTCCCTCTGGCCTCCCTACCGCCTCCCTTCCAGCTGGAGTCACTCACCACCTGTAGGGTGCAACAGGATGTCCGCTGGGTTGTGGGGTTTCAGGCCGAGAGCAGACAGGGGTGTCTTGGCCAGACCTGGAGGGGAGCGCACTGTGCCAAGAAGAAGAGAGGAGACACAGGGAGTGAGCCTGGGGATGAGGGAGGTGTGGGGAGAGGAAAAGGGGGGCAGGAGCGGGGACACCCTCAAGTGAGGACATGTTGGTGAGGGTGGGCAGCAGGAAGGGGGACAGGGGAGCCGGCCCCAGCCCCAGGGGTTGCCGCCTTGCTCCCACTGCCCTTTCCTGTTTCCGTGTTTCTCCACAGCTCCAAGGGTAGAGTGAAAAAGTCAGCAAATGCCCCTCAAGCCGGCCCTGGCCCTCAACCTTGAGCAAATAACTTTTATCCTGGGGCCCCCAGGGGCATCACTGCGGTCCCCTTACGTCGCCATAGCTTACAACATACACACGGCTTTCCTTGGCTATCTCTGACTTCCTCCGGATTATATTCTCTCTTCCCTCATCCTCTTGCTCCCCCAACACACACACACGTCTTTCTACACCGTGCACTTGGGTGGGCTTAGAGAACAAAAGGAAATGGGAAAACAAGAAGGCACATCCTATAAAGGACGGAGGGAATAAGGGATCACGGGTGGAGCCATGCCAACCCTGAGACCCCTGGGCAGCCCTCAGCTGGAGGTCTTTGACCCCCAGCCAACCATGCCACTTGTAAAGCCCAGGAAGAGAGAATTTCTCAGTGTGGGGCTCTCTGTACTCCCAAAATCTCGGTGTTCCTCTGGCAAGAGCACCAACTCCCTGTGCAAACCCCAGGGCCCTTCCAAGCTGCCTGGCTGGGCTAGAGGTGTCATGGAACACGCAAGGTCAGAAAGGGCTGTCCAGCCTTGTCCCGCCAGCCAAGGACGTGGCTGGACTCCGAGCTGAACGGCAGGGTGGTTGGTATGCCCAGTCACACGATTTCTCTGGGGCAGCTGCCATGTCTCCTATCACGGCTGCTGGGAGCATGCAGAGGCCACCGGCCCTGAGGACAGGCAGCCACACAGGTCAGCCAGAGCCCAAGCCTGTCTGCCACACACCAATGGCCCCAACAAATGAGCTGTAGCCCTCGGGTGCCTGGTCCCCACACGGCAGCCCCAGGACCCTCCTGGACTCCTCCTCCTTTCCCCAAAAGACAGAGAGACCCACTGGAAACAAAAAGTTACAGTCTCTCACTATAAGCAACATACATAGCTTCTCCATGCACACAGTTACACACAGAAATAGTGAGAAATCCCAGGGCTCTAGATGGGGCAGACTGAGTCCGCACACCGTCCTCAGATGCCCAGTGGACATAACACAGCAGAGGGGACATTTGTGTACAAATGCACACATCCCAGTAACAAGGTAAGGCTAAGCTTGCATGTCTCTATCACTCCCTCTCCTTACACAAACACACACACACACACACACACACACACACACACACACAAAGATTCAGTTTCTGCCCCCCTCCCGCACCCCTGCCCATTACTAAAAATGGCATCTTGCAACAGACCCTTATTAATGTTTGTCAAATGAATGAATCTGAATGTAATTAACCATGGAGGAATGAGCCCAGCCTCAGAGACCACAGTCCCTTGAACACCCGTGGAGCATCTCCAGCCCACAGGCGAGCATGTGTTGGTAAAGGAGGTGCTGCAGAGGCACAGGGTGACCACTGAGACAAGACGAAGAGGACAAGAGGCAGGGGGAGGTTCCTCTCGGTTCCACCTCCAGCTCCTCCAGCTCCCTAGTTGTTCGTGCCCCCGTCCCCCCGCATCAGGCTCTTCTGCTGAAGCAGACAAGTGGGCGGCCCCAAAGCCAGGCAAGGTTTTTGCTTCCCGAGAGAGGAATTCCTTGCATTTCTCCGCCTCTGTCCTCTCTCCCAACCTTGTGCACTGATGAAACCTCTGACTTATTCTCCCTGCTGGGGCTGCAGGGCTGGCCAGGGCAGCGAGTGAAGAACAGGAACAGACACATATGACAAAACCTAAGCCTCACTCCGCCCGGATGGCTTCCATCCCACATGGGGTGATGCCCAAGATCCTGGCTGACTGGACCAACAGCGAATCAAAGCATGCAGGAGGATGGCGGGTTAAGACCACCCTCAGGAAGGAGAGCGATTCCAGGGAGTCACAAAAGGCCACGGAGTTGCCTCTTGGGTAGCCTGCCCTGGGCGCGCACCGTCTGGGATGGCAGGCAGGACGGTGACGGCCGTACAGCCAATCAGAATTGAGATCCGCTCCAGGTGTAACACACACTGGGTCTCAAACATTTGGTAGGAAACACGAATGCGATGTATCTCTTTATATTGATCCCATGTTGAAATTATAATATCATAGATCTTTCAAATTCCTTAAAACCTGTTAAAAGTAATTTCACCAGCCTCTTTTCACATTAAAAGAAAAAAAAAAAAAGTTTGAGCACTGGGCGTTAGAGGCGACTGATGAATCATTGAACACGACATCTGAAACTAATGATGAGGTATGATGTGTTGGCTGATTGAATCTCAATAAAAATTTTTTTTAAAGTTTGTAAGATACCTCATTAATATTTTTATCTTGATCTAGCTATTGAAATGATAATGTTTTAGACAGCTGGGGTTAAACAAAAAAATATTACAGTTTACTTCTCCAGTTTTCTATGATGTTTTTCAATGCAAACACTAGAAAATGCTCCATCACAAACGTGACTTGGGCTGGATTTCCACTGGGCCACGCTGCCCTGGTGAGGATCATGGCTTCCACTCCCAGCTTTGGCTTCCTGCGTGCCCCAGACAGCAGCCCACACAAGGTCCGCAGCCCAGGGCACATTCTCCCCTCAGGACAGCCAGCCCTCGGGAGAACATACTACCATCTCTGGTCTCCGTCCTCACCCTCCACCCCTCCCTGGTCTCCCCTTCCTTGGTTGCCCCAGGCCTGCCACAGGGACCCTGAGTCCTTCTCAGGCATGCTCCATCGCTGTCATTCCACGGCTACCCCACTTCCAGCTCCCCCTGTCTCATCTACCATAAGGTACACGACCCCAGCCCTGCACTCATCCAGATCTTCTCTTTGGATGGAAAGGCCTCTGCCCATCAGGGCTTTGCCTCTCCCGTGAGTGCATCACAGGCTAGAGACTGAATATTCCTGCCCGGACACTGTGGACAGATGAGCTGGGGACTCCTTTCTTCCCCTGATGAAAACTTAGTAGGCTGAGTGAAATGGAAGAGGTGCCCAGATGTAGATAGAAATGGGGCTCAGGAGCAAGGAGATCAAGGGGTACAGAAGACCAGAGATACACAGCAGGTCACAGAGAGTCACTTTAGGATGGGAGGGTGGAGTTTTGCACACAAGATGCAAAACCTCTCAATGATTAGGAAAATTCTGGACTTTGGGAGGCCAGAGACCCCACAGAAGGTCGGTAGGATCCCGATGTGGAGGGGTGGCTGCTGCACCCCCACATGCGTGCGTGTGGACAATGGAAGGAAGGGGAGTCGGACAGGGATGGTGAAGTGAAACGAGCCATCTGGACCCAGAGCGACAGATCTCAGCCCTGCTCTCTGTCAGCATCTCCCCCCAAATCCGAGGTGCTTACTCAGGCCAGGGCTGAGAGAGAGCCTTGCGGGGACCCAGGGAAGACAGGCTTAGTGAGGAGCTCTTACCCCCACTGGATGGTGGGCTGGTCGGGGAGGTTCCCTCCATCTCCTCAAAGGCCTCCTTGTAGCTGTGCAGATGGGGCTGCGGGAGAAGAAGAGGGGGGGTGGGAGGGGATGCCCACTGGAGGCTGTGACCCTGAAGAGCACGGGTTTCCCAGGTAACAAGCCCACATGTCCCCTTGCCAGCCCTACCACCCACCCGTCCTCAAGGAACCACAAAGTTCAAAGGGAGATCCTGGCCATTCATGGCCCACCCCCCAACCCCAACTCCTCTGTCACTGAGAGAACGAGAAGTTCTATTTGCAAAGCCATGATCCAGCACGGGTGGAAATCAGGAACACTTGCCTTGGAAATATTCCGCAACAGAGCCAAAGAGAATGGGGCTGGGGATGGGGGACTCAGGTCCTGCCAGAAGGCAGCAGAGAAAAGATGTCCAAAAGCCATTTTTAGCCAGAATGACTCGCTAGCCTGGATTTTCTGGGACATGGGTCACTCATATCAGAATCTTCCAGCATGGATGTTTAAAACGCCTATTCCTAGGCCCTGCCCCAGATCTAATATGCTGGGATCTCTGGAGGTAGACTTGGGAATTAACATTTTTATCAAGCTCCCTGGTGGTTGTTTTGCTCTTTGAAGTGTGAAAGCTACTGCCTCCCATGACAGACTGCCTCCCATGACAGACAGACATTTTGGCATTGAAATTAGATCTCCCAAGGAAACCCCACACCTAGAAAGAATTCAAAACCACTCTTGTCAGTCTATAGGGTCTGGCTGGGAGCTTAGAGACTATGGTCATCTGTGTCATACCCTTACCATCCTACTAAACAGCACTCTTTAGGAATCAAGGAGGGAACTTTGATCGCAGTGTTAATCTAAAAAGTGGGAGCATATAAGCTATTTAGGGAGGAAATGCCAGATTCCATGTGCCAGAGAAGAGATACGGGGTGAGGACTGAGTTTCCTGATAGGGCAGGGCCACACAGGTGACACTGTGACTCCTAGACCATTGAGGCAGGCTCCACTCCTATCTCTCTGGCCACAGGATGCAGCCCAAGGACTCACCTCTTTGGGTCGCCCTCCAGGATTGAGGGCGATGGTGAGAGCCAGCTCAGGGGAGACGCACTGGACAGGGGAACGAACCCCAGGGCTACGGGGGGACGCGGGTTCTGGAGACTGGTTCTCATACTGTCCATCGCTGGCTGCCCGCCTCCGGAGAGGGGCGGGGGGCTCTGCAGGCTGCTTCTCCCGAGCCTGCACCCCTGGGAGGAATGCGGGGCAGAGAGGGCAATGAGGATTGTAGACGAGAAAGGATCGATTAGGCCCAGTTCCCCAGAGAAGGAGGTGTGTCTCAGCCAGGGTCCACGCTGGAGCTGGGCCTGTCTCACCTCCGGACTCCCCACTGCCTCCCTCTGCCCACATCCCAGGCTTCCTCTGCAGGGTGGGGGATCCACTGAGGTGGGGCTGGCCTTCCCCAGGATTCTCCGCCCTGCACAGGATTGGGACCCAAAGCACAAAGGGCTGATACAAGAAACAGATGTCAATGCCTTTCAAACCCTGGAGGCCGAGGGCCAGGGCTTCCAGGCAAGTGAGGGAAGGTGGGGAGAGGAGAGACCGTCTCCAAGGTGACTGCATCAACCAACAAGCAACATCAGGCCCGCAGGGAAGAACGTGGGAGAGTGCAAATAATGCATCATCTCGCAGATGGTGCTCCCGAGAAGAAACAAAGAAATGACTAAGCCTTGTCATGAAGTCTCCAGCCCCAGCTGGACCCTAGAATATTGCTGGCCTTCTCTGGGGTTCCCCAGCCTTCCTCCCATGCACCTCTGAAAACCTTTACCAACGGCCTTTATGTTGGCCTCTCGTCTACCCTCCCCTCGTTGTGCCCCAAAGATGGTCCAGCTTCCCGCCCCGCCCCTCCCCTCCCCTCCAAGCAGCAGGCCAAGGGCCTGAAGTCATGCGCTCCATCTGCCTTTCTGCATTCCCTTCCATTCCCCAGGCCGCGGCAGGCTGTTAGCCTCGCCCGCCTTCCTTCCTACTCTGTCTCCCCGAAGCTGGGCTGAGCCTCACTGAGCTGGCACCAGAATCCTAGAAAACGTACCCCCCACGGCCCAGAAGCCAAGACCCAGCCTGAGGACAGGCTTCTTGTCTTCATGATCTTGTGCGAGGACATCCGCAGCTCTGCCTTCACCACACCCCCCGCAGGGGTAGGTGAAGCGAGAGGAAGTTCTGGGCTGCACCAGAAGGTACGTGGGACCCTGACTGTGCCAGCCTCGTGGCCGACACGTCGGGGAGCCCTGTCCCGTGGCACTCTGCGCACACACACACACCGGCATGCACGCACGCACACACACCACTGGTCCCCCCAGGATGTGCCTGTGAGGCCCGTTCCAGACTGAATAGCCTGCCCTCCATGGTGGGGTCTGCGTGTCCCCACTAAGGCTGCCATGAAAATCCCAGGCTGGGAAGCCTTCTGACCTGTCATGAACAGCAGGCTGCCGATGCCAGACTAGGGGTGGACACACACTCGCTCACGCGCACACGCACACACAGTCCCTCGGAGACACGCACTCATCCGATCACATAGCCGGGGGGCCCATCCGGATGGCGGCAGGACTGGTGTAGTGTCTACAAGGCAGACGGACCCAGGGGGCTGTGGGAGGAGGTTTCAGGCCTCCTCTCGGGACTCTCTACACCCCAGGGCAGCCTGCCTGCTGTCTAACCGAGAGAAGAGAGCCCTGGACGGGACAGTGAACCAGTCTCACAAACTGCTTGACTTAAAGCAAATAAGCCCTCCTCTTAAAGTGCCCTGATTTTCCAAATAGAAGAATGGGAGGTCACTGATCCAATGGTTAGGACCAGGATAGGACCATCAAGCCAGATTAAAGACGCAGCAGGCTCTCCCAGGGCTGGGCAGCTCCTGGGACCCCAGGCCGCAGCCACCCCAGGCTCCCAGCCATCAGAGAGGGGGCTGCCCCGAGCACCACACCACGTTTGCAGAGGCTTCCTGCCTTCACCCCACTTCTCCCACCTCCACCGAGTCCCTGCCTCCTGGGCGGCCTGGTCCAGAGCTGCCGCGTGTTTCATTCCTGGCAAAAACATTAGAAAGAAACAGACATAACCATTGATTTTCTAATAATAATTGTGACAAAGGAGGCCCATTTGGGAAAGGCTCTAGGGGTTTGGAGCTAAGTTCAGCTCCAAGGTTAAAAGAAATGCATTAGGGCTGGTTTCAGTTCCGGCTCACCCAGCCCAGCAGCCTCTTTCTGGTAGAACCCTGTGCCTTTGCAAGGGGTGGCCGGGTTCCCTGGTTGGGGATCTAATGTCTGCCCTTGAAAAGTGGGTCTGTTTCCATTCGAGGCCCTAAATCTCCCCAAGGGACAGAGAAAACGCTCTCTGGTTTGCCCAGAAGCACCCTCCACGGTCAGGTGCTGAGCTGGCTGTAGCCGCCCAGAGAAGGGGCCAGACCACCCGAGAGGGGCTTCTCAACGGCGGAGGAAGCGAGATCCTGATATAGTCAGCTATCCGAAAACGACCACACCTCCTCAAGTCCCGCGGCAGGGGGAGGGATAGACAGGACGACCCCCAAAAAGCTGGACTCTGCAGAAGGGGAAGACCCCACATTCCACTCCCACGGAGATGGCCCCTCCCCCTGCAGCGTGCCCCATGGCACCAGTGGCCAGTCAGAGCCTCTCACATTCTCTGAACACAGTAACTCACTGTTGTTCCCTTTGGCAGGCCCAGATATGCCCCAGAGCGCTGGAGAGCCATGTCCCCTCTCTCTTGTCCTTCTCTACAGGAGGGGAGACAGGGCATGGCAGTGGGGAGGGAAGAGAGCTCTATTGTTCCTCAGCCAAGCTGGGACGGCTGGACACAAGCTAACAGCCAGTGTCACAGAGAGAACACCCCTCCCTCATGTCCCAGAGACTGACCAATGCTAAAAATAGGGTTAGTCCCTGCCACACACCTCCACACCACCACCCTCAACCCCAGGACTTTCTCGGTCACTTGGCCTGGTTCCCTGTCTCTGTCGAGGCCTCTGTGTCCACATGCTCCACTCCCTACACGCGTGCGCGCACACACACACACACACACACACTGACCTCTGGGGGCTACAGCCCTAGCACACACCCAAACACCCACTTTGGCAAAGCACAGGTGCCCCGAGTCCTATAGACAAACGCCTGGAGTCAGGTTTCATCACATGCTGCCCCTACCCCCCCCCGGCCCCCGGACTGGCCACGGCCACCCCCGCAGACCCAGCTCTTCTTTCCAGCCTTCTGATTTCCAAAAGCCTGGATTCCTCAGCTCCAGGCGACGGGGCTGGGTGTCCAACAGCATGCCTGGGGCTCCGAAAGCCAGGGTCTCCGGGAGGCCACCTGCTGGGCCAGGGCACCAGAAAGCCACACGGCGATCACACTAGCAGCCCCAGGGCAAGCCATGCCAGCTCCCCTCGGGACGGGCCCACTGTCCCAGATCTGCCCCCAACGCCCAGGTTCGACTGAACACTGCGCTCCCCACCACTAGGCCGAGAAAGGGTGAAGGGAGGGGAGAGGAGGCGGACAGGGGGCATTCTGCTAGAGCCATCTCCCCATTTTCCATGGACTGGGAAGAGGAGGGTCTAGGCAAACACCAGATATTGCCATTAGGAGTCAAAAATCCCCACTACCCCTACGCCTTTTCCTGGAAGTGCTCAAGGCCATGACCTGGGGGGAACCTGAGCACAGCCTATCTCTCCCCTGGGCCTCCAGGCTTGGAGGGGCAGGGAAAATGATGGGGCAACTCCCTCCCCAGAGCTAACAGCCTATGGGCAGATGCTAGTGGGCATCACCCTCCATGCGGGGTACGCCATATTGGGGCATGTCAAGCCACCATGCAAAATACACATGGTGGGCTATGATGACTCCCTTTTCCCTTTCCCTCTGAGTAACTAAGAGACTTGCCCAGGGTCACAGAGGTGGTCACTGGCAGAGCCCGGACCACGCCCAGGGCTTCTGACTCTTGGACATGGGTCCTGTGGTCAGAGATTCGGGATGAGGTCGGAGGGGGAGCCGTGTCCCCAGAGGACCATGCTCAAGAGTAGACAGAACAGCAGGTGCCAGGGCGCCACTCTTTGTCGTGAGCCTGGTGACCCATGCAAAGCACAGCCTGGCTCCTGCTGAGACCCTGGCCCAGCAGCCTGGGTGGTCTGGCCAGGGTGGCCGGAGGGCTGGACTGTCCCCGCCCTCACCGAGCACACTTACTGCAAAGGCATGTGTGTCTCTGGGGAGCCTGAAAGCTCATCTAGTCAAGCTAGACCCTGTTCCTAGCATGTAAGGCCAAAGCCAAAAGCATCAGGCCTGTGTCCATGCAGAAGTGGGAGCACTTGCTCATGCAGAAAGGAGGGGGAGAGAGTCTTGAGAGAAGCAGGAGGGAGAAGTAGGCTGTGGCGGGGCGGGGGGTTGTAATGAAGGGGGGGGGGTGGCAAAAAGATGGAAAGAAGAGAACAGAAGGAGGAGGAAGAAAGGTAAGGGGGATAGAAAAAAATGAACCAGGATGAGAGCGGGCAAAGGTTAGAAGAAGTAGTCCATGAGAAAAAGGGGAAGAGAAGCTGAGAGCTACAATGAGGGACAGAGACTGGTAAGGAGGAAGGGGTGGAGGGGAACCAACCGGAGAGGGAGGAAGATCGGAGCCGGTGGAGAGGACGCAGCTGGAAGCCGGTGTGTCCCATGCCCTGCAGCTTGGCGTTGTATGCTGCCCACCCCGACCCCGGGGAGCCGGCAGGGAGGGAGGCAAGCGGGAAGAGAAGGCCGGGGGCAGGGAGGGGATGACACCAGGCAAGGGAGGCACCACGCCCACGGCACAGAGGACAGATGGACACAGGACACACGGAGAACGCAAGGGACAAGGCATTAAACAAGACGAAACAAAACAGAAACAAAGAGAAAATCAAGATTAGTTGGTGTTCTGAGTCTGGGATCTGGCCACACGCTCGGAGGGAGGTGGGAGGGTGTCAGAGAAGAAGAGAGGGTGAATCCAGGGTCTTGCTTCCCCAGTGGGCAGGTGGACCTCCTGCTGTCCCTCAGGATGCCACATCTCTCACTCTTCTAACCCCAGCACAGGGCAAGCAGGTGCTGGCCCGGGACCAGGCGAGCAATCCTACTGCCCCACAACTCACCTGTCCTCACAGTCAGCACGGCCCCATCCCGGGACCTGTGTCCTCTTGTGGTCACCTGCCTCTTCTGGACCCAGCAGTGACCCTACCAGCCTGAGCCCAAGGGCCACAGTCCCTAGCATCCCAGCATCCCCCTGCCCTTCATCCTTCCCTCACCCCCACCTTTGTAACCCTCTTCCCTGGAGTCCCTTCCACTTCTACTCCTGCCCAAGGCTGCTGGGCACCACCAGAAAGTCCTTAAAATGAGCCCGTCTTGATGCACTATGAAGACCTGCTACACCCTCCTTTTATCCACATTCACTGACTCCCTGTCCCTAAGGGGGCTGCACAGGAAACCCTGCTCCCTCCCCAACGCACTGCCTCACAAGCTAATCCACACCAGCTTCTTGGCCACTTCCCTCTCATGCCTCTAACTGACAAATGCAGGAGGCTCTGGGACTCAGCCCTGGGACCTCTGCTGCACGTGTGTTCCCCCAGGTGCACCCACACGTGCCATACTTCACATGACACCATACACTGGCAACCTTACATCCCAGCATCACGATGCCCACGTTTCTAAGTTCCAACCTCTCCCCGTGGCAGTTTCGAGGGCCTCTCCCAACTATCATGGCCAAAATCACACTGCCAACATTCCCTCCAAGTCTGCTCTTCCCACATCCTTACCCAACTCAGCAAGGAGCAACTCCATCCTTTAGTTGCTTGGTCTAAAACCCTAGAGCTGTCCTTGACTTTTCTCGTTCATTTCCCATGTCTAGACTTGATGGCTCCGCCTCCCAGACTGTCTACAGCCTAAGCACTTCTCACCATCTCCACAGCCACCGCTCTGATCAAAGCAGCAGCTGCCTCACTGTCTACCTCCCTTCCATCCTGGCCATACTGATCCTTTTAGAACGAGTCAGATGACATCACTGCTGTGCACACAGCACACAGAGTAAAAACCCAAGTTCTTAGAATCACCTACAAGGCCCCCTGCAAGCTGGCCTCCAGGCCCATTACCTCTTTGACTTCGAGCCCTACTCCACACCTCACATCAGGTACACCCCGACCTCAGGGCCTTTGCACTTGCTGTTCCATCTGTACATCCCCTCACTGCCCAGGGCAGCCTTCCCTAATCCTATGTCAAGTGCAACCACCTACCCACTCTCAACTCCTCACTGACACTTTCCTGCTTCATTTTATCTCTGTGCCACTTACCACCCATCTGACAGATTATATATGTATTTGCTTATGTGTTTATTGTCCATCTCCCCCATGAAGGCAAGGGTTTTTACCTCTTTTGTTTACCACCATTTTTCCAGACCCTAGACCAACACAGATGAGGAATGCATGCTGAATGAATGACTGAATGGATCTGGATGTAATCTCCTCTTTCCATGATGAAATGTAAAAGTTGGGCTCTCAATTTGTCTCAAGCTTGACACATATATTTCCCTGTATCTGTATTCATCCTTCACTCTTACTCCACAAGCAGGTATCTCACCTCCTCGTTGAGCCTTAATCATCCACCTGGGCTCCTAGGCCTATATCCCCTCGTCCTTCCTTACTGGTCTTATTCTAGCAACTTCTTTCTTTCCCTTCCATCTTTTTCTTCTTTCTATTCCCTCCATATTCAACTTCTGCTTCTCCTCTAAAATCATTCTCATGGCTTCTATATTTAGAGGAAAAAAAAAAAAGGCTCTCTCCATATCTTCCTGCACTCTTCAGCTACCATCCTCTTTGCTTTTATCATACAACCACTCAAAAGAACAGTGGGCATCCTAGCCGCACTGCCTCTCTGCACTCACCCCTCAATCCTCCGTCTGCTTTCTGCCACCACTGCTCTACTGAAAATATGTCTTTTGAAAATCCCTGGGGCCACCTAACTGGAAAGCTCAGTGAATTTTCCCCAGTCCTCCTCCTCATGATCTCCCCAGTGACACTGTGAACCCCCCACCCCCACTCCTGGAAATCCTTTTCTGTCTTGACTTCTGTGGTGACCCACTGTCCCTGTCTTCTCTCACTGTCCTGAACGTTTCTTCTCAACCTCCTTCCCCTCCATTCCCCTCATAGCCATTTCATCCTAAGTTCTTTTCTCTCCATGCCCTCTGGCAGAGAGATCTCTCATTCATGGCCAGTGCTTTAACCCATGTCTTTGTGAGGATGACTCCAAATTCTATAGTTTTTTCTATTTTTTCAGGCTCCAATTCCAGATTTTTAGCTGCTTACCATACATGTCTATGTAGAGGCTCTACCGTCACCTCAAACTCAACATAAGGAACACTGATGTCTTCATCTTATATGAAATCTGTTCCTCCTAACTCCTGACTTATTAATGGAACTAGCATTCTGTTCCTATTCATGGAGCCTCAGAATCCTCTTTGATGTCTTCCTCTCCTTCACCCCTACACCCAATCAGTTTGTAAGTACATTTGCTCTACTCTTATAGTATCCTTGGCACCCATCTCTTCTTTTTTATCTCCATGGTCAGCACCCTAATACAATCGCCTGACCCAGTCTACTTAATAAACAATGAATCTCCCAACTCAGAGTCTCTCCTATTTTGCATTCTTCCTGCCCAGATCCACCAGATACGTCTCCCTAAATTACAGCTCTGATGATGGCATACTCCCAACTAAAACATGGCCGCAGCTTCCTACATTGCCACTAGATAAGATTCAAGCTCTTTAGTCTGGTATTTTATGACCAACCAGAGGCAGGTCCCAGGCTACCTTCCTTGACTCTCTCTCACTGCCAATATGCTCTCAATCTACTATATTCGTCAAACACTAATGGTTTCCTGTGTTCTTTAAGAACCCTGTCCCTCCCATGACCCCATCCACTTCCAAACTCCTATTCCTCTCCCAAGGCTCTTATTTAAAACTCACACTCAACATGCTCCTTAATCTCTTCCACTGATACTGATCTTTCCTTTTTCTTCACTCCCACAGAACTTTCTCCATATCTCACTATTGGGAATGACTTCATTTTAAAGTTCAAGTTCTTTCTCCCCTTACTAAACTCTAGACTCCTTAAAGATAAGATGCACATCTGATCGCCAACATGCACAGAAATCTCTACCTCTAGAGACATCTGAGATCAGTCCAGTCACAGACTCAGGATCATAAGATAACATGGACTTAACAACTCTGGCTCCTATTTCTTTTTCTTGTCTTATTGCACTGGCTAAGATAGCAAATACAATGTTAAGTGATAGTGGTGATAACAGGCATACTTATTTTGTCCCTGGTGTACCAGGAATGCTTCTAATGTTTCACAAGAAAGTGTGACATATGCTACAGATTGCTGGTACCTACTGTTTATCAAGTTAAGAAAACTACCTCTATATTCCCTGAGATCTAAGCTGAAATAAGAGATAAGGAGTCATTGGATCAAAATGGAATGAACCAGGAATCTAGTATTGAGGTATGGAGGAGGTACTGAGCCAAAGAAGAAAAGGTAGACCTGCAGGAGAAAAGCCAGGAGAAACCAGATCAAGTTCATGGCCATTAAGGGGTTCTCCTTCAGATCTGAGCTTCCTGGGTTACATGCTGAAGCTTATGTTTGAGCTTCTTGCAGAAGAACATAGAAGCAGCAGGAAGAAGTGGTACTGGCCTGTTGCCTGACTCCCAGGTTGTTGTACACAATGATCCCGCCTTTGCACCTCTGCTTACACAAGTACTGCAGACATGCTGCAGGGTTACTGAGGAATTTGTGCAAACAGGACCTGCTGACCTAAGAAATGCTTTCATGACAGAGCACGGACCAAAGAGGCCCCTTTATAGCCCTGGGGACCAAATATATCTGTCCCCTCTCTACATCTAATCCTTTCTCCTGACTGATTCACTCACAGTTGGGGGAGAAGATGATAGCAAGGTTGGGGACAGAGACATTGTACCAACATCTCTCCCTCCCTATGACTCCTTGGCAGCCAAAGCCTGAGCAACTAAGGATATAGAAGCTGACAGTCAAGACTTCAGAAGTTGGTAGGAGAGAAAAGGCTGAGGGGAGATGCACTTTAAGACGGGCATCCTTCTGGAGCTATTAAGATATGGCTTCCTTTACAGCCAGCTCCAGGAGAGCTATACAGGAGGATTTTCTGGTAGGGAGAGCAAATTCACTCTGCTTCCCCCAGAGAATCTGTCCATCATTAGGTTAGAGTGTTACTATTCCCTAGGCTACCTCAACTCTATAAAGTAGTAAGAGGGCCCCATTCCTCTCCCGTGAATAAAACCTCTGACAAAGAAGCCAAGGGTCCTTCTCTCAGGAGCTCAGAGGTGGGAAAAAGCAGAAGATGGCAGCCCCATGTGGACCACGCCACAAAGCCTTTCACCTCTAGAGTTAGAGAGCTACTCATCCTGTGTTTTGACATTCAGTTAAAAGCAATGATGTGCTTCTGGACCAGCTCTCCAGGAGAGGTGAAACCCTGATGGCCAATTTCCATGCCATAAATACTTTCATCAGAGCCAATCTGAAGTTACTGAGAGTGGAACTAGGGACCGTGCTCTGCTCCGAAGTACAGCAGGACATCCCTGCCCCCACACCAGGTCCTGGACCCATCCCAATAGCCAGCCAGCCTGCCCTCAGCTGCTTCCCCTAACCCAATGTCCATCCCCAGGGAGGGGTCTCCCTCTCACCCTGCAGCTGGTATGATGACTCAGCTTCCCTACATTTAGGGGGAGGGGTGGAGGGCAGAGTCAGCTGCCCAGGCTCCTCTTCTCCTCCCTGAGCTTCCACCACCCTGTCCACTGAGGGGCTTGGCAAAAAGTCCCCTAGCCCCCATCTCTAGCCCACCTCTGCCTGGCCTGACCTCCACAGCTAAACAAACCCACAGGATTTCCCACTGAGTGTGGCTGCCCCCATGGAATGGTCACGGCCGTAGGCCAGCAAGAAAGGAAAAGAGCCCTTCCCATCCCTCCCAGCGTGGCCCTACAACACTCTGCCATTTCTTGTCTAGATCTCCCCAGTAAGCTCTCTCGTTACCCCATCCCCTCTCCTGCCTCCAGAAATGAAGCCCATTCTCCAAAAGGAAATGGAGCTATGTTTCTCAGCACCTGCTGCTCATACACAGCACATCCAAAAGCAAGCACTAACAGGAGAGTTGAACAAGAAGGGGAACCTTGGCCTCCCCACCAAAATGAGACATACCTGGAAGGGACCCACCAGGGATGAGCACTCAGATAGAGCCCTGGCCTTAAGGACACCCTCCTTTCTCTGTTATGCCTCTGGGAGGGCCCAAGGGGGAAACTGAGTCTACAGAAGCCTCCCTCCCTCCAGGCTTCTCCATACCTTCCCCCAGGAACTGAAGCCTGAGGACAGCAGGCAGTTGCAGAGAACTTCTTCTCTCTGCCTAGAAAACCTGCACTCCAGCCCCAAAGTTACCACTTCCAAGAAGCTTTCCCTGATTGCTCCAGGTGGTAAGCCTTGCTTTCCCTCCAGCTCCAGGGCTTTGGTCCCCGCCCCTGTCATAGTACAACTTAAGCTCCTGTGTACCTGTCCCTTTACTGTAAGACACTGATCTTTGGATCTCAATGCCTGCCTGGGAGCCTAATGGACGAGGAACACAGGCAGGGATGGCGAGCACGTGACAGCCTCTTCCCCAGTCAAAGCAGCACCCGCCATGGGGTGACAGCCACTCTTGTTCCTCCCCCAGTAAGATCATCCAAGACCAAAGAGGGTGGGCATGGAGGGAGTAGGAAAGGAGTCCCATGGCTCTTACCTGCTACCCGGTGGGCTACCAGCCCCTCCAGGTTCAGTGGCTCCTCGTCTGGAGTGCGGGATGGGTCTGAAGTTGCCTCCTTTGGTGGGAACTGAGGCTGAGCGGGGAGGCCAGAGAGAGAGACTGGGGGCTGCTGAGGCCCTGGAGGGCTCTGGGTGGTTGGAAGGAAGGTGGACGAGGAGGAGGAGGCTGGGCTTTTTGGACGGAAGCTCAGGCTGGACCCAGCAGGACATGGTTGATAATCATAAGGTGAGTATGGCCTGCCAGAAGGGAAGGACTCCAGGGCCAGGGAGGACCGTGGGGCTGGCTCAGGGGTTCCCAAGGAATGCCCACTGGGGATGTAGCCAGACCTGGACTGGGTCAGGGGATGGGGCTGGCAGGGGGAGCCAGAGAGAGGCTGGGAGGACAGCGGGGAAGCCCCCGGCCAGGCCCCCGGCACGCTCTGGGACTTGTGCAGGGGGGCAGCTGCCGCGGCGGGCTCCAAATCCAGCATCAGCATGTTCAGTGCTTCGATGGACTGCTCTATCTCCTGCTGGGAGGCCGCCCTTGGGAACTCAGGGAGGCCGGGGGTGGGGGTCTCTGCCAGCGGCTGAGGGCTGGGCCTGCTGTGCCCGAGACTCTCCAGGTGGGCTCTCTCCTGCTGGCGAGGAGGGGGACGAGGCTGCTGCTGCTGCTGCTGCTGCTGCTGCTGCTGCTGCTGCTGCCAGGAATTCAGACCCCTCTGCACAGCCTCCCTGCTGCTGCCACTGCGGGCTGGAGCTGGGGGCAGCTGGGGCTCGCTCTCCGGAAAGGACTGGGAGCGGAACATACCGCTGGGGTCAAGGCCATAGTGGGAGGTGGGTACTGGCTGTGGCCAGGCTGGGTGGGGCCCCTCCCGCTGGTAGCCGGCTAAACCCTCCTGTGCCGAGTAGGAGGGCCGCACAGGGGCAGGGGGGCTGACATGGGCAGGCGCCGCTCGGCTGGCGGACTCATAGGGGTAGCCCCCGCCATTGACCATCGGTTCCCCTGGGTAAGACTTGTCCAGACCGTTGGTCAGTGAGGACAGGGCCTCTGGGTAGCCCCCCTCACTGGTGTTGGTGACCCCGTCCAGGGAGGACAGTGTGCCCATGCTGCCCACGCTGTGCCCGTCCTGGTTGGGCAACTCATCATCCAGGATGTCCGTCTCCCGCTCGGATGCCAAGGTCCCGCCATTGACGTGAACCTGGGCTGGGACGACATGGCGGCCGGCAGCGGGAGCAGCCAGGCCCCCTGCGGGGCGGGACCGGAGATGCTGCGTGTGGTACATGGGAGCTGCCTTCTCTCTCTCGACGCCGAAGCCACTGAGCAGGCGGTCCAGCTCGCGCTTCTCCTCAGGACTCAGGGCAGCGGGGGCGCTGGAGGGGCCGGGGGCCGGCTCATCGGTCTTGTCTGTCTTGGTGGAGGCTGTGGAGTTGCCTGAGTCGCTGCTCACGGAGAGGGTGTGCTCCACGTGGTTGGGGGTGGCCGACAGGGCAGGGCGCACGGCGTTGACGGCCCCAGTGCTGCCATGCAGGGAGTCCTTCTTCTTCACCTTGGCGTACAGGCTCCCATCCAGAGGCCCCTGAGTGTGTCCCACCACTTCTGCAAGACAGCCGGAGGGCAAACGACAGGTGTCAGTGAAAGGCTGGCACACCCTCTCATCTCCCCGAGGGAGGGAGGGAAGAGCTGCCATTCCCCGAGTCCTAAAATCTCCTTGCACCACTCAAGACAGAGCTGAGGTCAGGGATGTGAGGGACAAGGACAAAAGGACCCCTACCCAGGCTGTTGGGCCCTAACACCCAGCTCCAGGGCTGTGAAGCCTAAGTGGGCGAGAACGGGGAGCTTCGGAGCAAGGGGCCCCAGTCCAAAGCCTGGTCCTGGCATTTCACCAGCCTCCCAAGGACCTGGAAATACTGGGTCAAGATGGGGCTCCGCAAAGCCAGCAGTCCCCGCATCAGAGGCGACATGCCTTCACTCAGAGTGCTGGGCTCCTGGGATTCTGGAAAGAGGATCCAGAGAGCAGGGGGGCAGGGGAAGCATCTTAGGGATCCAGAACACAAAAGGAGATGGTTCTCCTCAAGGAGGGGTGTCCCCTGTGTCATTTTGTCTGGGGACCCCATGAGCAATACTTTCTCTGAAAGGAAATAGTGAGTGCTGGGTGGCTCAGGGCCAGAGGGCTGACTCAGGAACCAAGAACGTCCCCACCCAGAGGGACTCAGTGATTTCACACCCTGTACAGTCAGCAGCCCAGCTTCCAGCCCCGACACACACACACACACACACACACACACGCCCCCCCCCTCCCTTTACTCCAAGGCAGACCCTCTGTTGGCAAGAAAAGAAAGCCCCCCCCCCCAAATACGGCAAAGTCCAGCCAGACACCAAGAGTCACACGCACACACCACCCACACACAGGAAAACCAGACACAAAGACGTCCTGAGACACACACGCCAGCTGGTAATCACCCAAGTCAAACACCCACAATTCACCCAAACTGAACCCTTGGTGCACTCTCGGGGTACGCTAGGTAGGTGCCCCCGAGGCACTTTACACGAACTTCATTTCCAGTCCCACGAGTCAGGGAGTATCATGCCTCCTTCAGGAACAGGAGAAAGTGAGATTCGTAGAAGTGAAGCCATTTACCTACAGATATACGGTATCTGGTAACGATGAGATTTAAAATCAGAACTAATTTAAGATTTAATTAAAATAAAACTAAATTAAAGGCAAAACTAATTTAAAATCGGAACTTCAAAAACCATCCTATTTTTATTATTTCACACCATCCGTCGTATAACACACACGCAGAGTAAATGAAACACGTAAAAGGCAGCAATACCCCAAAATAAATACTTAAATCTAAAGCCACAATCATTTCAGAAAATACAAGCGCCTACCATGCCCAAGGATCAGCCCTCAGGCCAGAAGTGGCAGCCTCTAAAAATAAACACTCGTACAGAAGCCCACAGCCAAAAACAAGGGATCAGACAGCCACAAAACAGGAACATCGTGATCAACAGACACACACACAAACCACAGGCCGACCAAATGACGTCACCGGCAGCAAGCGCAGCGGTGCCCAACGAGGCACAGCGTCCACGCACACCCCCCAGGGGCTGGATGCTCTCTGCCCATTCACCTAACTCTCCAGACCCATCTCTCTGTCCCCTGTTTTCCCTGGGGCTTTGGGACCTTGGCCAGCAGCAGGTCCCAAGGGACACTGGGCCAGGGTGTGGCCACAGCCCCGGACTTCAGGGGCTGGGGCTTGTTGGGATTGGGAATGGGTCTGAATCTGGTCCTTGTGCTGGGGCCCCCAAGGGCTGCTGAGATCAACTGGCCTGTCCTCGCCTCTGAAGGTGTCAAAGCTACTGAAGGAGAGAGGCTGCCTGCATGCCGGGTTCTTCCAAAGAACTGGACTCCTGCCACACAAAGAGAGAGACCCCAGCTAATGGCTTCCATCGGGGGAAGCGTCAAAGACAAGAGCTCTGCTCCACTCAGATTTCTGGGGGTGGTTCCCAGGAAGGGGGGCCTCTTAGACCAGTCAGTGGGAGGCCGAAGAGCTGTCCTTCCTTCCCACTGTGCCTGGAAAGTGGCTGGCCCCAGAGAAGGCAGGCTCACACTGCGAAGCCAGCAAGCTCCTCCAGCCCTGGCAACCCCTAACCTCCCAAGTTCATGCTCATGTGGTCTGGGAAGCGGGGGTAACAACAGCAAAGCAAAGAGTAGAGTGTCCAGCTCCCCATTTACACCTGGGGGCAATGAGAACCACTGGGTACAAACCAGGGTAAACCAAAAACTATTGTTTCCTTCAGGGAGAAAGGAGACCCACTCCCGCATCACACTTGGGTTCATAAAAGAAGAGCTTTTGGCAAGAGAGCTATGAAAGCATCCCCTGAGGGAAGCAGGGAGGAAGAATTCACGCTGACTACCAGTACCTGATATCTTGCCCCTTTGGGCCCCTTCATTGATTGCGACAACATCAATATTAAACCTATTCTGCCATGTAATTCACCCCCACACAGACCACTCTTTGCAGCAACATTGGGAACAGTAACTGCCAGGCCACGGAGGCTGAGTTAGAAAATCGAAGAAGTGCAGATTGTTTAACTAAATCTTTTCCGCACGATACAAACGGAAATGTCTACTGCTGTCCTCCAAGAAGGAGCCGGCTGCTCCTGACCACTGAGTGCCTGCCCCACACTTCAGGCTGTCCTACACCTTCACGGGTCTCCGTCTTCCCATCCAGAGGGGGCTGTGAGGACAGCCAGGCCCGTCCTGGGTCTGTCTAGCCCCCGGGAGGGCTCCGCTGAAAGCCCAGTGTATTGGCATGACCCCAGCATGGCAGCTTGCCCTGTTCCTCCCGTCGAGATGAGCACCGCCACCCCCCTGCCCCCCATACCGGTACACACATGCTCGTCCTTCCCTTCTGCCCGCCACCGCGGCCACATTAAGTGCTACTTAGCAGGACCACAAGAAGCCGGAACACAATGTCAGTTTCCCTCTGTTAAGGCAGGAAGAGCAGGAGAGAGAGGCAGGCAGAATAAGGAAAGAAAGAGCCAGAGGAGAGGGTGGGGGAAGATGGCTTTGGAGCTCTCGAGCTGGGGGTCACGAGATCCGACTCAGTCCCAGCAGCCTCCGGGGGCACGGCCAGCTCAGGCAAATCCTCTCGGGTGAGAGGGCACTGGACACCCAGTGTGGCAGGGAGCAGGGGTCAGAGGAGGAACCTGCCAGACCGGGGCCATCGGTAGCGGCCCAGGTCATCATGGAGGAGAAGGACAGACAGCAGGGGTAACACAGGTCGCAGGCCGCCCAGCGTGGGGAGCTCCCAACCCTGCAGGTCGGCCAGCCGGAACGTCCTGTCTTGTGGGCCATCTCCCTGGCTGCTTCTCTAGGGAAGCCGAGACGCTAACGGTCCCTTCAAGGCCCCATTTGCTTTGTCCGAATATGTCTCCTGGCTCCCCCGGCAGCTGCCCAAGCCCCAGCCCCACCCTCGACATCGAGCTGGATTGCACCAAGAGGCCCTTCTTCCACGGCAGCCGTAATCCAGATGTGCGAGTCATACTTTTAGAAAGCTCTGAGGAAAATCCCCAGCTGACTTGGACATGGACCTACTCCTAGGCTCCCTCCAGCAAGCCACAGAGGTGTGTGTGGTGCTAGAAGCCCAGTCCAGGCCAGGAGGCAGGGAAGGAGAGACAGGTACTGCCTGCACACTGCAAAGAGAACGGAAGGACTACAGGAGGCAAAGGTGACCCGGGTTTAGGACAGCTGTTTTCCAACTTCGAGGTGCATAAGAATCTGCTCCAGAGATTACTAAAAATGGAGATGCTGGGGTCCCGCCCCCAAAGACTCACTCATAGGCCTGGGGCGAGGCCAAAGTGTAGTATTTTAACTCTCCCAAGTCTCTGGGGCTCACACAGGTGGACGATATCTTGAGAAACGCTGACCCCAAAAGTCAGCCCTTTGGACTCTGAAAAGAAGGATCCCCACTTCTCTTACTAACGTCTAGCGGAGAAAGTCTACTTATTTAGTGGTCAGGAGAGATGGCCCAACCATGGAAAATAAAAGGCTCGAACCTGGTCAGCTCTAAGAAAGAAGTTTCCTCTGGTGGTCAGCAAGCAGCGACCCCACCTCGTCCAACCAGCAGGCTGGTTTTGAACAGTGAGTGACTTACTAAGGTTTTCAGGCTGGGGCCCTTCCGGATAAAAATTCCTTTGGGTCCATGTTCAGCTGAATAGCAATACATTAAAATATACTACCCAGAGAAGAGTGACCAACCAATGCAGAGGAAAATCAAAGCATGCCAGTAGGAAGAGGCAACACGCCACCCTGGATAGCAGTACTTTGGAGGTAGACCAGGGCCCGGCACACCCAAAGGGAATCTCAGATCCTTCAACAGGGAGTGGGGCATCAAAGGCCGTGAGCGAGCATCTAGGAAGTAGGTGACCTTTGACAAGGGCTGAGGCTTGGCCAAGAAGAAGCAAGGTCTGGACATGTGAACCGGAAATTTCATCACAGACTCTCCCTCGGCCATGGAGGGAGCCAGGCGGGGCTACTGAGGGGCAGCATGTGGGGGCCAGAGGATGGGGCTGGGTACCAGGGAGGCCCCAGGGATGTGGTTCTGGAGAAAAGACAGAGGAGAAGCGCTGCTTCAACTCCATGGTTGTGCCAGATACAACCATTACTCAGAAGGACGGTCCCCATCTTAATGTCAAGTTGCTTGCCTCTGCCACTTAACCACACAGAGCCTGGCTTCCAAGCCTGGGGGTTGAAGATTCAGATGCTTACCTGCAGGTTTGGTGAGTGACAGGACTCAGGGGCTAAGTACCTGAAGCTAGGCATGGCACATCCTGGCATGCTATGTTCTCCTCTTTCCCTCCTGTTTCGCATGTTTTAACAGCTCCCATCACCCACCCATTAAAGCCCAAACCCTCCTCCACTGCTGGACAAGCCATACCTTTTATCATCCGGCCCCCATTTGCCTTTTGAAGCCTCACCTTCACTGTCCCCAATACCCCCAACACCCTTCACTCCTCTTACTATTCCTATGCTTTTCCTACTCTGGGCTTCCCATCTGCTATCCCCTCTCCTAAAAGATCCTTCTTCA